GCAATGAATAGGATCAGAGTTTCATTCATTAGAATGAAACTCCGATCCGAATAAAGTGCCGAATTGCGTTCTAAAAGGAACGAACAGACTGTTCTCATTCAGTTAGAACGCAATTCGGCAGTTTCATGTAAAATGACAGGAAGCATCGCGGGAACACAGAGGGAAGGTAAGAATCATGGGAAAATTGCTCTGACCAGCGGAAATGAAGCACACTTTGCTCCTCCGCTGGTCAGAGCTGGTCAAGCGGAGGAATCCTCCATAAGGCAAAGAGTCCCTACTTTGTCTTATGATTTTAAAGAAAACTAAAGAAGACAGGAAGAAAAGAATAACAGATCCTGAGAGAGGGGGAGAAGAGGAAGAGATTGAGGAAAGGTAAGTTCGGCATGACAGTGCCGCTTTAATACCTGCACGATTATTACAGTTGAGTGCCAACACCATTAGTATTTCACTGTTCTAGGGTATGATCATTCTTCTACAAAATGTAAATGAAAAGACACTTATTTCAGTACCAGGAAGGGGATGAGCTGTAACGGCCAACAGCCAGGAATAGGTTAAAGACTTAGTGTGTATGTATTTCTCGAGTTGTTTTTTATATATTTATTTATTTATTTTTAGCAATTTTTAATTGGTGTCCTGGTTTATTTTCACCTTGGGCATGGCAGGATGCTTTGTACTTTTAAGCACAAGAAAAATAAAGATTTACAAAAAAAAAAAAGTCCAACAACTGTGCTCATAATGTATACAAAAATGGAACACAATTGATAACGGAATTTGTAAATGTAATTTGTAGATGGATATAAAATTGGATTTATGTGACGCACAACTAAATGGTCTCCTTGGGATATACTTACCCATGTTCTACATATTGCAAACCCCAGCATTCCTACCTCCCCCCCCCCATTTCCCTCTACCCCGCTTTTTTATTCTTGTTAACAGTTAAAATTCCAGAACCTGAGGAGGCAGGCATAGCTAGCCGGATCAAGGGGCATGTGTGAGTGTGTAGGAGAGAGTGATAGGGTGGGGCTGGGTGTGGTCAGGGGTGGATAATAAACAGGATGGGGGGATATAAATAGGTGGTCATTTCCTTCCCTCTCCCCTGCCATTTTTATGTTTCAGAGTTCTTTTGGCCCCGGACAAGACAGTGGGCCCGAGAACGTGCTTGAGTTTTCTCAGAATCGAGATTGACTAGGTGGAGCGGGAATGTCATCTTCTGGTGGATAAGGTGAAGGATTTGCGTGCTTGAGTGGTGGCATTGGGTATGTGGAAAATACAGTTGCGTCAGCTGCAGGCGCTGTTGGGTAAGTTCCATTTTGCCTGCCGCATTCTGCCCATGGGCAGGGTGTTTAACTGGAGCCTCGCTGCTGCTGCATCCGGCATCTCCAGGCCTCACCAGTTTGCCCGCTTGATGCGCCACTTGAAGGAGAATATGGCAGTTTGGGATACCTACCTCATGGGATTCAATGGATGGTCCTATTGGCAAGAGGTGTCCAATGTGGAGCTGCACTGGTTCACTGACTCGGTGGGTTTCAGGGCTATCTTGGGCACTCACTGGTGTGCGGATACGTGGCCAGATTCCTGGCACATATCGGGCCTGATGAAAAATTTGGATTTCCTCTGTTTTCTTGTGACCTTGGAACTGTGGGGCTGCTGCTGCTGCAGGACCGAAGGGTTGCCTTCTGTTGTGAAAATGGGGATGGTGTCTGCCATTAATAGCCTGTTGGCGTCATCTCCTTCCGTGGTTCGGCTGTTGTGTCAGCTGGTGTTGCGCTGTTTGTCGTTGCATGTTGCTTTTAGGCCGGTACATATTTCCGGGGCTAAAAATGTTACAGCAGATGCCCTCTTTAGTTTACAGAGGTGCAAGTTTCGTGCGGTCGCATCCGGGGCGGATGCAGAGGGGTCCACGGCAGAAAGCTTGGATTTGGGCATCGGTTTCAGAAGCTACATGGTCCTGGTATGGTAAGGTTTGAGGGGAGTGGTTGGCTTTTGAGTTCTGGGAGGCATCGGGGTGCTCGTCGATCTCCGTTTCTGCTAAGCTGTCGGGGCTTAGATTCTGGTTCATGTTGTCAAGAGTTCCGGATGTCACCAAAGATGTGATTGTTGCCTTGGCAATGAGGGGGTGGAGGAGGTTCCCTGCTTTACGGCTCATTTACTGTTCAGTGGTGTGTTTCTCCAATTGCAAGGTGGTGCTCTTTCGGCTTGCTTTTATTTTTGCCTTTTTTGGGGGGTTGCGGGCCAGTGTGGGTGATCAGAGGGCTATAGAGCGGTGTCGGGTTAAACCTAACAGGCGGGTATCTAAATTTGTGTTGGGGGCTTTACGGTCCGGCATTGAGTCTTTAAGTGGGATGCGGCCATATACTTTAGGAGTGATGGGGTTTACCTCATGGACAATGGAACGTTGCAGAAGGGTTGAAACCGCTTTTCTGGGTGGTTGCTCCCCCTGATTTTATGGGTTAAAACAGCAGGGCCTTGTGGCGGGTGGTTGTCATTGCCAATCGTTGGTTGGACTGGGGAGTCCAATGGGAGTGAAGGAAATCAGGGCTGATCCCTCCTCTAGCCTCGGTGAAATTAAGGTATACGGTTTTATGGACCTGCCCACTAAGCCAAAGGCCAGCTAGTGGTTAGCAAGGTGTTGGTGGAAGGCCAAGTTTTGTGGCTAGTGTTGGATGGAACGAGGGGGGAGGACAAGCGCCCAGGAGAGTTCCGAAGTTACAAATTACTGGTTGGCAAGAACGGATATGTTTCTGCAGTATGTTTTAAATTATGTTGTATTTATGTTTAAAGTTAATAAGATATTATATTTGATAAAAAAAGTTAATATTGGTAATATTGATTGGTGAAATTATTTTTATAAAAGCAGTGGCCTATTTTCACCAGTTACATTTCATGTTGTATTATTGGAATATAAGGGTTGACATAGTGCATAGTGACACATGTGCACTGTCAATGTTGAGAAAGAATGACAATTGTTTTCAACAACTTCATTTGTACATTAGCAATACAACTCTTTGTTTCCTTTTGTTGTTTTCCTTTTTCTGAATGTCAGATTAAAGCACTTGATTTTAAATAACGAGACAGAAAGAGAAGAGAGACACGTCAGGTAATGAGTATAAGAGCAAATCTACAAGCTGTGGACACTGACAGTGAGATTAATTGCCTAGACCACTGGGTGAGGAAAAATAAGAATAGAAATCTATGACATGAAGCAAGTGAACATAAGACAAAGGGTTGAAGCAAAGCTCTCGGCACTGGAAGCTGGAGTGTGTCATACTGCATTATTAGATGCCATCACGGAGATTCACCCTATTCCACAAGTTGGCCAAAATCGGGAGCGCAGTCCTCCAGGTCTGGGATTATTCCCCTCCATCCAGATGCTGTGCAGGTATTGCAGAGGAGCACACTGCATAAGATAAGGTAGGCCATCCACCTGGGTTAGCCCGAAACTACAGCTCCGGGTTTTGAAGGGGGTTAGTGCCACATGTCCATAGATTCCCCCTTCTCCTTGAGGCTGAATCTTAAGCCCACAGGGTCCCCCTGTCTCAGTTGACCCCAAGGGTGTATGGATGGCTGCCCAGGTTGCTCCCAGATGGGGACCCGGCCAAGAAGAGGAATGGGAAACTGGAGCAGCTGGTTCAGTCGCTGGAGTTGCAGCAGGGTTTAGTACATGATGGGCCCGCTGGCCTAGTAGGAGAGCGGTGAACCTTTGCAGTAGCTGGTTGTAATGAGTCCTCCAGTGTAGCGGGGATGCGAGGGATGTTGGCGCCAGAACACTAGATGGAGCGCCTCAAATCTTGCCTCAAACTGTTCTCTCCGCTCCCGGCTTCTACAGCTTGTTCGGTCTTGTAGTGTAATAAGCGCTATGGTCATCTTGGCTCCACCACGCGGTTGTCTGTTTTACTATGGACTGCTTGAGGTTGGTGGTGATGCAAGCTACCCAGTGGAGAAAGGGATACGCCCACCAGTCCAGTGGGGGTAACTGTCACAAATTGTAGGAATGAACTGTTCCCGGGCCAGGAGATCGGCCACTTCTCTTAGTCATCGGGCAGACTCCCACAGTATGCTGCTAAGCCGGACATGATAGGTTCATTAGTTATGTATGAGTATGTAGCAATGTATGTATCGCGGTATGGAACGTACGTCAAGGTATGGATCTGTCAGTTCCGTAAGCCAAGTTTAGATCTAAAGCAGCAGGAGCGAACACGTTGGCTCTCAGGCCCCGCCCCCTTGGAAAGATATCAATAAAAAAAAAAAAGTAATGAATTTGTGTTGAAACATTTGTTAGTTCCTCCCTCTCCCTGTTTTCTTTTGATGTATTTTTCCATTTTTCTTTTTGTATTTCTCCTCCTCTTTCAAAAGTATTTAATTAGTAATGCTGAATATAGGATTTTTCTGTGATTATTATATTTTGTGTGAAAATGTTACATTTACTTTTAACTGATAGTGGGTGTAGGATTTGTTTACCCCAATTTTTCCCTGTTTTTTTTTAAATCTTTGTACCCTTCCCCACTGCTGTGTTTTACCTTGTTAACATTTTTGAAAACTTTAATAAAAAACATTTGAAAATAGTTCTCTCCCTTTACAAGTACTTAACCACGTATGTCCATTTAATAATTGTAGCACTTTTGGTGCACTCGGCATCTTTTTTTCTCTGTTGACCTCATATTAAAGACTTAGCACTAGAGATGTCGTGAACTGCTCGCTGAACTGTTCGCGAACTGTCCGCCGGCGAACAATAGCGTGTTCGCGTTGGGCGAACATATACGATTTCCGGTCCGCCCCCTATTCGTCATCATTGAGTAAACTTTGACCCAGAACCTCACAGTCGGCAGACACTTCCTGGGAGGGAGGGTCTGCTGCTGATTGGCTGGAATGTGTCTGCTGACTGTGAGGTTCCGGGTCAAAGTTTACTCAATGATGACGAATAGGGGGCGGACCGGAAATAGTATATGTTCGCCCAACGCGAACACGCTATTGTTCGCCGGCGGACAGTTCGCGAGAAGTTCGGCGAGCAGTTCGCGACATTTCTACTTAGCACTTGACATCATAATCTGGCTCAGTCCAGGCACAGCTAAGGCACACATTCTATTGGAGGAGGAGAAATGGAAACATTGTGCCTATTTCTATGCTGACTGCCAGGTTCAAAGCACAGATTTTAGAGTAATGACTAACAGGGAGCTAAGATGGAGGCACTCAGTCGCAGGATAAAGAGGTGTGGATTTCTACATTTTATTTTAATTTTCAGACCATACATATTTGTTAAATAAATATAGAGGATAAGTAAGCAAAATATTAACTGTATTTGACAACAACAAACATTTCTTCTTAAATAAAAATTTCAGGTGATTTTACAAAATCTATGAAATGATAATGTAGGATATGTTTTGACTATCCATGCTACGAAAATGTAAAATAAAATGAAAAAAAGTTAAGGAAGTTTTTTTATAACAACATTTTATTTCAATTCATATATTTACAATGTTACCTCAAAACTTATCATAAATCTTTACATCAGCGTATATTCAGTATGTAGGCTCTTTCTTCAAATTCCCTGAGAGCAACGTGTTGGACCCTGCATGTAAAGACACTATCATTGTCCTCAATTTGAGGGACGAAATTTAAAAAGCTCCACATTGAATGGAGTCCTTTTGCACTGGCGACGCAGGGTGAGTTTGAAATTCCAATGTTCAGTTTATTGTTATTTTTGAACCATTCCACTGTTAAATCAGTAGGAGAAAAGTTACTAATCTGGCATCTGAGTTGAAGATCTTCCCCCGCGGTGGGATTTTGAGGGTCTGCTGTAATCCAGTTAACGATGGGAGGTGTTCCTGAAAATAAAGAAATGGAAGTCAAAGAAATATAACAGGAGAAGACATCATGATCTCAGAAGATAGACATTGGCTTACATATGCAGGGAGTTACGTTCTAGAATATATGTGGCTTTAACCCCTTAAGGACCAAACTAATGGAATAAAAGGGAATCATGACATGTCACACATGTTATGTGTCCTTAAGGGGTTTAAACACAATTTAGCCGAAAAGGTCCTGTTTGTGTTGGAACGTTCACACCAAGCGGTCAGAAGATAAGTGATACAATTCTATGTATTTGAGCTATAGGTATGAATTCAGTTCATGTTTCCAGTAAGAGAGAAGATCTATAGATGGGCCGGTGAACTATATTAGCAGTTAGCGGAGCTGCTTAGAGTAGACAGACCCTTATTACTGGCCCTGTTTAGACATATATCCAATATATTGCTAAATTCTGTGCTTCTAGTTCCCAGTACACTCCAGTGCCCTCTGTACATTATATGAATAAAATATACATACACTGTATACCTACTGCACTTACTGTACCTCCCCCTACTGTAATGTAACCTATAAAGTGCTGAGTACACCTGTTAGGCTATATAAATAAAATATACATCACTATACCTACTGCACTTACTGTACCTCCCTCTACTGTAATGTAACCTGTAAAGTGCTGAGTACACCTGTTAGCACTATATAAATAAAATATACATACACCGTATACCTACTGCACTTACTGTACCTCCCTCTACTGTAATGTAACCTGTAAAGTGCTGAGTACACCTGTTAGCGCTATATAAATAAAATATGCATACACTGTATACCTACTGCACTTACTGTACCTCCCTCTACTGTAATGTAACCTGTAAAGTGCTGAGTACACCTGTTAGCACTATATAAAATATACATACACTGTATACCTACTGCACTTACTGTACCTCCCTCTGCTGTAATGTAACCTGTAAAGTGCTGAGTACACCTGTTAGCGCTATATAAATAAAATATACATACACTGTATACCTACTGCACTTACTGTACCTCCCTCTACTGTAATGTAACCTGTAAAGTGCTAAGTACACCTGTTAGCATATATAAAATATACACACACTGTATACCTACTGCACTTACTGTACCTCCCTCTACTGTAATGTAACCTGTAAAGTGCTGAGTACACCTGTTAGTGCTGTATAAGTAAAATATACATACACTGTATACCTACTGCACTTACTGTACCTCCCTCTACTGTAATGTAACCTGTAAAGTGCTTAGTACACCTGTTAGCGCTATATAAATAAATATACATACACTGTGTACCAACTGCACTTACTGTACCTCCCTCTACTGTAATGTAACCTGTAAAGTGCTGAGTACACCTGTTAGCGCTATATAAATAAAATATACATACACTGTGTACCTACTGCACTTACTGTACCTCCCTCTATGTAATGTAATATAAGTGTGTCCTTTAAAGGTAATATATGAGTGGGACTCACATTAAAAATAATGCTGTAATAGAATTTTTGGAAAATACCTTTTGCGAACTGCTTTTGGTACATGATGCCGACCCCCAGGAAGACGACTAGTGTAATTAAAATGGCACTCGTAACTCCCACAATGAATCCTGTGTCCCTCGGAATCATCTCTGGAACTACAAAAAAGTTAGAAGGAAGAGATTGTGATTTCTTTTTATTATAATTTGTAACTAATCTGATTCTTTCCAATTCTTTTTATTTAAGTTTTCACAATTTTAGGCAGAAACATCATCTATAATAATCATACATAACAATTAAAAAATAAGGGGGTAACAGAATTAAGGAAAAAAGTGAAAATATAAAAGGAAAAGCAGGGTGATATAAAATAAATCAAACATACATGACATTGACTATCAATTTTGTCATTTAAAGAAAAAAATATATATTTTTTTATCAAATTCACTTGCAGTAACTTATATATAAAAATAGGCAACATTTACAAGTTACAAATCATTATTACAACTTTCATATTTTGACCATGTACCATGAACATAAATATTTTTTTATATTATAATAATTTACCTTATAATATGGTCCATATTTAATTATTATGCCTCTCTCATTTTCTTTTCCCAAGAATCCCATAATTGACCTAATTGTGCATAAATTGCAGACGAACAGTCGGATATTTCCAATTTGTCGATATAACCGAGGTTGCTGCTATCAATATATGAGTGGTAACAATCGTTTCGGGCCTACTAAACACTGTAAGAATTACCTTAAATAACCCAAATCTAGGAGAGAGAGTCATTGTAGTAGCAACAATCCTACCTTCTGTATGACATTTTGAAGTGGTTCTCAAGATGATTAGAAATTGAGTCATTCCCTAAACGGCGTTTATTTGGTGTATTGAAAAGTTTCTGTATTTCAAAGTGTGACAGACCACCTGGTCACTTAGGACTTGTACATGGCTCCTAACTATCACCTAAATATTCCCACTCCAGATCGTGCCTCGCAGCTGGAGCACCAGAGACATCAGAACCTTGGAGGAGACTCGCAGAGTTCGCTCTTAGTCCCAGGACCAGCAAACAAGGAGCTATTTGGAGGGGTGACAGAGTAGGTGGTGAGGCATGGAACAGTACCAAGGAGTTGAGGGTGCTCAATGTACCCACGGAAAATTACAAAATTGAAAGTGAACAGGACTTTCCATTCAGCACTCTGGAACTCCGAGCTCGAGGCCCGATCAAAACTTGACATTCAGACCACTCGGGCTAGCCACGTCCAATCCAAGCGCTATTTTGGACACAATGGGCGCTCCGTAGACCGTTATCCAGGGATTGCCCTGGCTTGGAGATGCGGGCACGGAAACCCTATTTATTATGTAGAAATGTTATTAGGTGCCGAGGTGTCTGGCTGCTAATAAAATCATCTGGTCAGGTACAGACACCTAGGCAGCAGGTATTGTGCAATGTCCATTGTTTGCCTGGTGACCCCCAGTTGGGGACCCATGTATAAAAGCGTGCCATTGACTCCAATAAACAGTTCTTTTCACATTCACCAAGTTCGGCCGTGTTGGGTGTCAGTGATACTGGCTCAATCCTTGGGTATAAGCTAAGGGGGAAAGGGAGTTCTTGGCAGACAATCCGTGTGCAAGAGAGTACACAAATGAATTTAAATGAAGACATGATATTATGAAATTAAAGCACATTGACTTAGCTATTATTGACCTTAATTAGATTTTTTTGCTTCTCATTTCCGAATAACCCTTAAATTGTAACATTGATAAAAATTAAGCACTTCCCTAGGAAACATTTATTCTCTTTGGGAAGGCCGAATTGTGTGGTTGCTTGCCGCGCATGGTATGGGTTCAGCCTCGCGATGATATCAGAGGGGCAGCGATGGACCCTCTGAGGTCCCTGTCCTGTTGAGTCATGATTTCGGTTTAGAAGGTACCACCGAATGCTGATGAGGGGGTCGGAATCCATTTATGTTGCATATCACATTCATGGCCTCATTTGCAGGAACAAAATCTGGCAGGATAACATCTGATAGTGGTGGAGCTGAAATGAAAATAAATAAATACATTTTAAAAATACAAAATCCTTAAAGGGACACTCCACTGCCCAATTCAATTCTTTTTTAATAATTAAAAAAAACACTTTTAATTAATTTAGACCCAATGGAAACATGCAAACATTTAAAATGCATTTTTACACTTGGATACATATACAATTAACTTGCAATTGCTGCAGATCTCTTGTCTGCAGTCCTTGCAAGTCCTCCCCTTCTGATCCCGCCCAGACTTTCTGTGGCTGTCCAATCACAAACTTTCCAAATGCAGCTCAATGATAAGTCTTTTAAGGTGCTCCGGGCAATAGCTGCCTCTGAGTTGTACCAGTGAGCTTAACAAAGCAGGAAGTAACAGGACCTGCTGTCTGATTGATAGCCAGGGGAGTGTGACAAGATTCATTTATAAAAGTGCCAATTTCTATTGAAATATGCCCTTTTTGTAAAATAAAAAAAGAGAGGAGCAGGCTGGAAAAAGTCATTATTTATTTAAAAATTCCATGATGCTTAATATTATGTTTACGTTTCCCACTAAATTTAACACATATGTATTTGTGTGATCTAATAAATAAATAAATGAATTCTATGCAGTTATATTAACATTTATTGTGGAAGGGATTACCTGTTAGTGCTATATAAATAATATATATGCATACACTGTATAACCATACTGCACTTTTCACTGTACCTCCCTCTACTGTAATGTTCCATGATGCTTAATGCTGAGTACACCTGTTAGCGCTATATGAATTCTATGCAGTTATATTAACATTTATTGTGGAAGGGATTACCTGTTAGTGCTATATAAATAATATATACATACACTGTATACCTACTGCACTTACTGTACCTCCCTCTACTGTAACTAACCTGTAAAGTGCTGAGTACACCTGTTAGTGCTATATAAATATAATATACATCCACTGTATACCTACTGCACTTACTGTACCTCCCTCTACTGTAATGTAACCTGTAAAGTGCTGAGTACACCTGTTAGTGCTATATAAATATAATATACATCCACTGTATACCTACTGCACTTACTGTACCTCCCTCTACTGTAATGTAACCTGTAAAGTGCTTAGTACACCTGTTAGCGCCATATAAATATAATATACATACACTGTATACCTACTGCACTTACTGTACCTCCCTCTACTGTAATGTAACCTGTAAAGTGCTTAGTATACCTGTTAGCACTATATAAATAAAATATACATCACTGTATACCTACTGCACTTACTGTACCTCCCTCTACTGTAATGTAACCTGTAAAGCGCTGAGTACACCTGTTAGTGCTATATAAATATAATATACATCCACTGTATACCTACTGCACTTACTGTACCTCCCTCTACTGTAATGTAACCTGTAAAGTGCTGAGTACACCTGTTAGCACTATATAAATATAATATACATCCACTGTATACCTACTGCACTTACTGTACCTCCCTCTACTGTAATGTAACCTGTAAAGTGCTGAGTACACCTGTTAGCGCTATATAAATATAATATACATCCACTGTATACCTACTGCACTTACTGTACCTCCCTCTACTGTAATGTAACCTGTAAAGTGCTTAGTACACCTGTTAGCGCTATATAAATAAAATATACATACACTGTATACCTACTGCACTTACTGTACCTCCCTCTACTGTAATGTAACCTGTAAAGTGCTGAGTACACCTGTTAGCGCTATATAAATACAATATACATACACTGTATACCTACTGCACTAACTGTACCTCCCTCTACTGTAATATAATATAAGTGTGTCGTTTAAAGGTAATATATGAGTGGGACTCACATTAAAAATAATGCTGTAATAGAATTTTTGGAAAATACCTTTTGCGAACTGCTTTTGGTACATGATGCCAACCCCCAGGAAGACGACTAGTGTAATTAAAATGACACTAACAACTCCCACAATGAATCCCGTGTCCCTCGGAATCATCTCTGGAACTACAAACAATACAAGTTAGAAGGAAGAGATTGTCATTTCTTTTTATTATAATTTGTAACTAATCTGATTTTTTTTCACAATTTTAGGTAGAAACATCATCTATAATAATCATACGTACCAATTAAAAAATAAGGGGGTAACAGAATTAAGAAAAAAAGGTAAAATATAAAAGGGAAAAGCAGGGTGATATAAAATAAATCAAACATACATGACATTGACTATCAATTTTGTCATTTAAAGAAAAAAATATATATATTTTTTTACCAAATTCACTTGCAGTAACTTATATATAAAAATAGGCAACATTTACAAGTTACAAATCATTATTACAACTTTCATATTTTGACCATGTACCATGAACATAAATATTTTTTTATATTATAATAATTTACCTTATAATATGGTCCATATTTAATTATTATGCCTCTCTCATTTTCTTTTCCCAAGAATCCCATACTTGACCTAATTGTGCATAAATTGCAGACGATTGTCTTGTGACCATTTCTAGCTCCTGTTTTTTATGAGTAGAGAATTTTTTTTTACTTAGAACAGTCGGATATTTCCAATATGTCGATATAACCGAGGTTGCTGCTATCAATATATGAGTGATGATAATCGTTTCGGGCCTACTAAACACTGTAAGAATTACCTTAAATAACCCCAATCTAGGAGAGAGAGTCATTGTAGTAGCAACAATCCTACCTTCTGTATGACATTTTGAAGTGGTTCTCAAGATGATTAGAAATTGAGTCATTCCCTAAACAGCGTTTATTTGGTGTATTGAAAAGTTTCTGTATTTCAAAGTGTGACAGACCACCTGGTCACTTAGGACTTGTACATGGCTCCTAACTATCACCTCCTCCTAAAAGAACTATGATCTCCTAAATATTCCCACTCCAGATCGTGCCTCGCAGCTGGAGTACCAGAGACATCAGAACCTTGGAGGAGACTCGCAGAGTTCACTCTCCGTCCCAGGACCAACAAACAGGGAGCTATTTGGAGGGGTGACAGAGTAGGTGATGAGGCATGGAACAGTACCAAGGAGTTGAGGGTGCTCAATGTACCCACGGAAAATTACAAAATTGAAAGTGAACAGGACTTTCCATTCAGCACTCTGGAACTCCGAGCTCGAGGCCCGATCAAAACTTGACATTCAGACCACTCGGGCTAGCCACGTCCAATCCAAGCGCTATTTTGGACACAATGGGCGCTCCGTAGACCGTTATCCAGGGATTGCCCTGGCTTGGAGATGCGGGCACGGAAACCCTATTTATTATGTAGAAATGTTATTAGGTGCCGAGGTGTCTGGCTGCTAATAAAATCATCTGGTCAGGTACAGACACCTAGGCAGCAGGTATTGTGCAATGTCCATTGTTTGCCTGGTGACCCCCAGTTGGGGACCCATGTATAAAAGCGTGCCATTGACTCCAATAAAACAGTTCTTCTTCACACTTCACCAAGTCTCGGCTAGTGTTTGGGTGTGACAGCTATACTGGCTACAATCACTTGGGCTATAATCGCTAAGGGGGAAAGGGAGTTCTTGGCAGACAATCGCGTCCCCTGCAAGTAGACCCCCACACAAAGTGAATTTCAAATTGAAGACCAGAGTGGCTGAAATTAAAGCACAGTTGACTTCAGCTATTTTGACCTTAAATTAGAAATTTACCTTGAATTCTCACTTTAGTGAATAACCCTGATAAATCCTGGTAACATATGATAAAATATTAAGCCTTCCCATAGGAAAGCATTTATTCAGTGATTTGGGAAGGCCGAATGTGTGTGCGTTGCTTGCCGCGCATGTGTATTGGGTTCAACCTCGCGATGATGTCAGAGGAGGCAGCGATGGAGCCTGCACTGAGGTCCCTCGTCACTGGAATATGGTGTTTAAAGGTTTTTAACCCTTTAATTGCCATGAGGGGGTGGGACGTGCAGGGCCATAATAGACTATAGTGTTAGAGTTACAGCTTTATATTCCTAACACTATAGTGTTTTTAAATTTGAAAATCTCTATGAAATTTCCCTCATCAGTTTCCTTGCTTCCATCACCCAACCCTCTCTCTCCTGTCATTGATTGGTTCTTCCACCCACCACTTTTACCGGATTATTTACACACGACGGGCATGTTATCCATCAGTCCCTCCTCCTACTCTGACATGCTCTCATTGCTCTTGTGTGTCTTTATGGATAGCTTGCTAGACCCTGCAAGAGCCTCCTGTATGTGATTAAAGTTCAATTTACAGAGCTAGAGATAAAATTGTTTAATGTAAATTACATCTGATTGAAAGTGAAACCAGTTTTTTTTATGCAGGATGTGTCAGTCAGAGACAGGGGAAGTGTGACAAGGGCTGCATAAACAGAAACAAAGTGATTTAACTCCTAAATGGCAGAGAATTGAGCAGTGAAACCTGAGAGGCATGATCTATACAATAAAACTGCTTCATTAAGCTAAAATTGTTTAGGTGACTATAGTGTTCCTTTAATTTTGGAGTTGCGGTTACATGGTTTTTGTGAGTGAGGGATTTTCTTCACTTACTTTTATGCCTTTTTACTACTAACATTAAATAAAATCTTTGTCTCCACCTGCTGGTAACACATAATATTACAAAATCTATTTTCTTTAGTTTGGGTCTATGTAGGGCAATGGTTTCATATTCGAAGTGTCAGAGATTGGGGAGACTGTGCCAATACCTTATTGTAGACCAGGGGTGCCCAAAAGGTAGATCCCCATATGTCGGTGAACTACAAGTCCCATGATGCTTTGCATGCCTTTAGGAGAAAAAAGCATCATGGAAATTGTAGTTTTAAAACATCTGGGGATCTACCTTTTGGGCACCCCTGTTATAGGCATTTGCATTTTTGATGATAAATATGATGTACCCAAGCAGACTCGTGAGGACTAAATTATGGGTCCTGAACCAGGGGGGCTATACGTTACAGTGGTACAATATATACAATGGGTGCTACAGGTACTTACTTGCAAAGAGTATGGTGGTATTTCTCCTGAGTGGCCTCGGAAGAGACTCATGATTGACCTCACAGATGTAGACACTCCCAGCGTCTTCCTCAGTGAAGATCATCGATATCTGACTGCTGACATTGAACGTACCATTATCAATGAGCGAGGGGAGCCCGGTGCAGATTTTCGTGGTCAGTGGCACCTCTTCGCCATGTGATTTTAAAAGCCAGATTATCTCAATGTCTTGTGGGTAAAACTGACTGGCTTCGCAAAAAAATGTTTTAGTCTCCCCATGAGAAAGGTGCGGATTCACTGGCGCCAATGCCACGGAAGGTTGAGCTGTGAGGGAAAGTAGACTTTATTTAGACAGCCACCGCGACTAACGTGGTACTGGATACAATACAAAGACTTAATGTCAGTCTTTGTATTGGGGCAAAAGGGGCAAATTGCGTGTCACAGCCAGGGGAGGTGTGACTGGGGCTGCATGCACATTAACAAAAGTGATTTAACTCCTAAATGCCAGAAAATTGAGCAGTGAGACTCCAGGGGCATAATCTATAAAAAGGCTTCATTAAGCTAAAGTTGTTATGGTGCTGAGAGTATTCCTTTAAGACTGATGATAATTTACCTGCCACTTTCAGTAGGACAGTGGAGCTACCAACGTCAGGGGTGATTAAGATGGTGCACTTATAGTCTCCCTCATCCTCCAGGGTGACGTCCTGCAGGTGTATTGATGCATTGCCTTCCTTAATCAGCATCAAATCCAAAGTGATTCTGTCCTTGTGATATTGTTCTGTTTTTCCGTCAAACAAGTAAATAGTTTTAACCTGACTTCTTCTGTCTACTGTCCATTTCACGGCTATGTCTTCCAGTTTGACGGATCCAGCGTTTATAAAATGACAGTCAAGTAAAACGTCTTTTCCCAACATGCTCGTAGTTTCCGGTGTGTTTGTTTTAACCTCCATTAAATCTGAACATGAGTATATAAGGAAAAAAACAGATACAAAATAAAATTGCGACACATACACTGAACAAAATTAGAAACGCAACACTTTTGTTTTTGCCCCCATTTTTCATGAGCTGAACTCAAAGATCTAAGACTTTTTCTATGTACACAAAAGTCCTACTTCTCTCAAATATTGTTCACAAATCTGTCTAAATCTGTTAGTGAGCGCTTCTCCTTTGCCGGGATAATCCATCCACCTCACAGGTGTAGCATATCAAGATGCTGATTAGACAGCATGATTATTGCACAGGTGGCACAATAAAAGGCCACTCTAAAATGGGCAGTTTTATCACAGAGCAAAATGCCACAGATGTTGCAAGTTTTGAGGGAGGGTGCAATTGGCATGCTGACTGCAGGAATGTCCACCAGAGCTGTTGCCCGTGAATTGAATGTTAATTTCTCTACCATAAGCCACCTCCAAAGGTGTTTCAGAATATTTGGCAGTACATCCAACCGGCCTCACAACCGCAGACCTCGTGTAACCACACCAGCCCAGGACCTCTACATCCACATTTTCACCTCTAAGATTGTCTAAGACCAGCCACATGGACAGCTGCTGCAACAATCGGTTTGAATAACCAAAGAATTTCTGCACAAGCTGTCAGAAAGTGTCTCAGGAAAGCTCATCTGCATGAGATACCGTGACGAGATCCTAAGGCCCATTGTTGTGCCAATCGTCCATGACCATCAGCTCATGTTGCAGCATGATAATGCATGCCCCACGTTGCAAGGATTTGTACACAATTCCTGGAAGCTGAAAACATCCCAGTTCTTGCATGGCCAGCATACTCACGGACATGTCACCCATTGAGCATGTTTGGGATATCCAGCAACTTCAGCAGCCATTGAAGAGAAGTGGACCAACATTCCACAGGCTACAATCAACAACCTGATCAACTCTATGCGAAGGAGATGTGTTGCACTGCGTGAGGGACACCAGATGCTGACTGGTTTTCGGACCCCTCCATTACAGTAAAACTGCACATTTTAGAGTGGCCTTTTATTGTGACCAGCCTAAGGCACATCTGTGCAATATTCATGCTGTCTAATCCGCATCTTGATATGCCACACCTGTGAGGTGGATGGATTATCTCGGCAAAGGAGAAGTGCTCTCTAACACAGATTTAGACAGATTTGTGAACAATATTTGAGAGAAGTAGGGCGTTTGTGTACATAGAAAAAGTCTTATATCTTTGAGTTCTGCTCATGAAAAATAGGGGCAAAAACAAAAAAGTTGCTTTTATAATTTTGTTCAGTGTATATTCCCATCTTCAGTTCATAGAATATCATATATGCGCCTTGGTGTCTTTCTCAAATAACTTCAGAGCAGAATAAAGAGAATTTGATCCATGCATTGTACTAAGGAGAAGATAGAAATATCCTTTAGACTTGTACACAAACCCTTTTCACTTGTGACAAATGAATCAAATTCCTGTTAATCTTCGCCCGAACGAATAAATCCAACATGTAATTCCCGGACAAAGAGATTAGTTTTGGCACTGATTAAGAGGAATTTGATTTGCTTGTTGGAGGCGAAAAGGAGTTGTGCATTTCCATTGTGAGATGCACTGATTTGTCCCAGAAGGGAAGGGTGTGTGTGTGTGGCTGTCACTGAAAAGGTTTCTTCATGCACAGTATATCAACAATGTACAATAAACAAAAACGAAAAGTTCAAACAATACAGCAATCATACTTCCCAAGAGTCCTGGTTTAGCAGACAAAGTCCCCAGTTTGTGTCCAAACCACTCTCAGAATCATTTATTAATATTCTAAGAAAATCCAAATGAACTTAAAATGTATTTTAAATTTTAGACTAAAATCAGCTAATTTTTTTAATTAGACTATTTAGATCTGTAATTTAACATTCAGTAAGTTAATTCAAACATTAGAGAGCACCCTGCCTGGGTTTAAGGTAAGATCTGGTCACCAATATATAAGGTCCATTAAAAGCCAATTAAGTGAATGGATTTTTAAGTATATAAATAAAGGTGTATTTGGATAAATGTACGAATACCTGAAAAGGGAAGGAAGATCCATAGCCATATGAAGAATTTCATAATTCTGGAGTACTCCTGTCATGTGTGCTTGCTGGGCTAGAGCCGTACTCAAACCGTGGACTTTGACAGCTGTGAACACACCTTACACTGCACAGGAAGCAGCCTGAGACACTTAAAGGATCACTATAGTGTCAGAAAAACAAACTTGTTTTCCTGGCACTATAAAGTATTTAGGTCCCCCCACCCTCAGGGTCCCCCTCCCGCTGGGCTGAAGGGGTTATAACCCCTTCAGCCACTTACCTTTATCCAGCGCCGGGCTCCCTTGGCGCTGGTGACCTCTCCTCCCCCTCCGACGTCAGCTCCCGAGTGGAGCCGAATGCGCATTCTCGGCCAGAGCCGCGCGTGCATTAAAAATGCCCATAGGAAAGCATTTCTCAATACTTTCCTATGGACGTTCTGCATGCTCAATGCGATTTTCGCATTAAACATTGGGGAAGCGCCTCTAGCGGCTGTCAGGAAGACAGCCATTAGAGGCTGGATTAACCCTACAATGTAAACATAGCAGTTTCTATGAAACTGCTATGTTTACAGCTGCAGGGTTAAAACCTGGGGGACCTGGCACCCAGACTACTTCATTGAGCTGAAGTGGTCTGGGTGCCTATAGTGGTCCTTTAATAAACTAGTATACTGTATTGGGTCCATTTCGTTCCACCGAAGAATTGTTAAGTCAATAGCAGATGTAAAACAATCCTCCAATTCAGGCTCGGGCTAAAGTCGCAACACAATTTATTTTAATCTGAATTTGGCAATTTTTCGTTCAGTTCTCTACAATTTGGAAATCAGTAAATAACGCCTTTATATTCAGGAGGAAGTTGAAACTATAGTATCTGAGGGACATGCAGTTAGGGCTGGTATATCCACCATGTTTTTATGGAAATATATATTATCCGCAAGTTAATTGTACACCCCATGTCAGAACCAAAAAACAGGTACCTGTGTCATTCTAGTGGGTCTCTGTTGGTAAAAACAGACCCATCATATTCGTTAGGCCCTGGAAACCCATAACAAATTATTTGCTATAGTCGCAATGCTTTCCACAACGCAATAATGACCCTAAGGGGGTTTCTTCTTTCCAAGTAGTTCAGTGAAATGCAAATGGAACAATTTAGGCTAAAGGGCCCTGATCACTTTCACTGTTCTTGCATGTCCAACACATTTTCTTGGAATTAAATGTTTGCCTTGTCTATTTATTGTACAGCGCTGCAGAATATGTTGGTGGCGGTGCTATATAAAATTGTAAACTAGCCAAGCTCTGACTAGTATGACACAGCCATGTAATGTGACTTGGTTATTTCCACTTGCAGTATCTGTTCTGTGAGCATGTGTGTGTGTAGCACATAGTTCTGTACTCAGGGCAGAGTGAAGTGCGTCGACACAGACAGGGTGCTGTGCTTGTGTGCGCAGTGGGTGTAACCTTAAATCGCACTACTAGTCCCCTCTTATCTCATGTCTGGGGTCATCTATACAGTACAATAAAAACATAATAAAAATGAGAATAAACATTTGAAGTTGTGTCCTATTTTGCGTTTATATCTTAGCACCTTTACAAATGCCTCACAGGATAAGAAAATTTGCATAAATATAAGAAAACAAGTAATGCTACACAGTAATTACCATTATACGCGCTCGTTAACATCCATTAGGGGCTTATTCACTAAACAGCGAATTGCGGAGAATTGAGACTAAAATTGCCGTGCTGTCTCTACACCTGAACTGGTGATTTTTTTTCCTTCACAAATAATCCATTTCAACCTAAATGTTACATTTCTGTTTTGAAGTCAGCACAGATCACTGTTTAGTGAATAAGTCCCATTACTGTTACAAATAGTTGCCTTTAATTATTACCTAGTTTCTACAATAAGAAGTGCCAATTCATTAATCTCTTCATTTTTATATATACATATATTTTTTTAAAAAAGGAGGAAAAGGCTAATTTGAAAAATAATTAAAAACCAAAAAGTCAAGTTATGACATTAAATAGTGATATTGTATAAAACAAATACTATGGGGGGGAAAAATCATCCCTCCCTATGTAAGAACATTTTTTTAAAGAATTATTTTTCTTGTTCAAAAGAATCCCTAATGAGAATGAATGTAATTAATGTGAATGTAATAGAATGCTATGTATGCATATAGGATTAATGGCTATATCGATCAGAATACATTATTTGCAGGGGCTGGTGGGGGTTCCTGGATTTGATACAACGTAGATGGATTAATAAAATGAATATGGATCGGTGGAACCACAGTCCCATATTAGATTTGGAGACCGGGCACTTGATCCACGTGTTTCTCTAGCAAGCGTGTAAATACACAGCAGATACATTGTGACTGCAGTGCTTGGACTCTTGCTGTACCGGGGATTCGAACTCATGGAGGAAGGTTCACAGTGCAACTCACTTACCACTGAACTACTGGAAATGAAGTATACGCCCACTGCAAGAGTTAGGCTTCAGTTTAAATTGAGGGGATTTTTTTTTTTTTCATACAATACAGTTAATTAAACAAATTTACTTTGAAATGTATATCTAACTGCCATAAATAAATTAAATTAGAAATAAATCAAATGGGGCTAAGTAGGACTTAAGAAAACATCCCTCAGGAGTTAAATAGCTATCAAATCGGGTAAAACAAAATGTAATTATTATTATTTTATTATTTATATAGCGCCATCACATTCCGTAGCGCTGTACAATTGATGTTGTAATTTTATCCAGATTACAGAAAGGCAATGACCAATGGTAGACCTCGAAATAAAAGGCCGGTATATGTCCATTTAAATGACCAAGCGAGGGTAGCGTGTCTGTTTAGTGGCTCTTAAATAAATACAATGGAACTTTTATTTGTTACAACTATTGAGAAGGTCCTTGAGGCAAAATAACTGAAGTGTCCACAGTGTTACTGTATGAGAGACCAACTGACGGAATTAATAGAATGAGTTCTCTTTCTCATGTCTAATCTCGTACTAAAATATCAATATACAGATTAGGATTCCTTGGAAGTCTATTGAGAGGAGAGTTCATCTCGTAATGGTGAAAATACGCTGTGATTCCTAGAGGTAGAACAAAATTATCCCGTCTTAAGTACTCCCACCAGGCCATCAAATCTTCTCAACTGGATCACGGTCCTAGTGGGCCATTATAGCTTCACTTTACATTTTCATTATATCTGCAGGTCTGGAGTTTCCCTCTAACTTGAATTCACATTTCAAACCAAAATTGTTTATTTTCCTATTTGGAAATATATGTTGGACTAATTCCTGACAGTTCTCTATTCAAAGGGCAAAACCAAACGAAATCATGTTGGGTGTTTTTCAGTAAACAGATCATCTATTGTGAATTGACAAGGTAATTGCATACTGGATAATGCTTCCAATTTGCCTATATTGTCTAAAATGTTAGATTCTCCACAATTAGTGGTTCAGTGAATGTGTTTTGCTAAAAAAAATTATTTAAAAAAAAAAAAGTATTAAAGTGGGACATTCAAAGTGGAAACTGGCACATTCCATTAGTGAATCATCCACTTCTTCATTTTTGCACTAATTTTTAGAACAACGCACCTTGACAGATCTCACCCAATGACTCATAATAAGGAGTATGTTTATACCAGTCAGAATAATTTATTTAGAGATTTAAAAAGAGCATTATAGCGTTAGAAATACAAACATGCATTCCTAACGCTATAGTATTGCCTGTTTAGATTTAACCCTCAGCCCCAAATTAAGATTGAAAAAAAATAAAAAAATAAAATGTTAAAATAAAAAACAAAAAAGGTGTTAAAAAAAAAAAAGTTTTAACTTGGTTGTGATGCTTTTAGTAATTATTTAAAAAAGAAATGATAGGAATACGAACTGTGGTTTTACAAATTTTTATTATAAAACAAAGTATTTTTTCCATGTTACTGATTTAATATAAACAAATACAATCCATCAAAGATCCACTATCCCACCATAGATCTTTTTCTCCCTCTAAGTCTGACCTCGTCAAGTTTTTTAATCACTGGGCCTGATTTCTTAGATGTTGAAGTGTAACTTTTGAGCAAAGCCTTGAAAATGTTTTCAGTATTGGGATGAGTGCTGAGAAATGCTTTTTCAAGAACATACAGGTCAACTCCTTTGTCCTCTGGAAGTGCGGAGATAAAACTCAGACCAAAATCAATCATCACTAGGTTCAGTTCATCAAACGGGGAGCGTAAGAGCATGTTTGAGGTCGTAAGATCTCCATGAATTACATCTTCATCATGCATTCGTGCCAATAACTGGCCTATCTTCTCTGCCAAATCAGACAGTTTGCCGTCGGCTTTTTCGGTCTGCTGCGTACTCATGATATAGTCACGGACCGTGGTGGATTGCTCAATATCTTCAAGGTAAATGCAGTTGGAAACATAGTCAACAAAATAGACCACAGGAGCGGAAATGCCTTAATAAAAAAAAAAAAAAAATGAGATAAGTTGGTCATATATCTACTTGTTCATATGAAAGTGCACCATACGCAAATTATGTAAAAGAAAAAAAAAATTACTTTTTTTTATTTTTTTTTTAATTTCCACCTCTATTTTCTAAAACAAAGTAGCTTGTTCTACCACAGGTAGACTTTAAATAACCTGTAATTTATTATCTTCATCCTTAGAAGCAATAATTTACAGAGCCGTTCTCTGCGACAATCCATTTTTGGGAGATATGCCCACTGACAAGGTGTTCAATCGTTATAGTGCTACAATGTGATTAAAGAAAGCCAACATGCAATGCAATGGTCATTAAAGGGTTATTCCGACCACCATGACCACTTCTGCTTTTTGAACATGGTCATGGTGGTAGCAGTATGGATGTGCATGGTTTCTGCTTAAACAAATCAGTATTCTTAACACTATAGAGGCCTCTGGTGCCCCCTCTGGCAACTAATGGGTTAAAAAAAAACTTTAGTCACTTAGATTCGATGTCGCTCAGCACTGGGTGGGCTCTCTGACGCCTCTTACGTCATCAGGGCAGGAGAAAGTCCATCAGCAACCAGGAAGGGCTACTAGCAGCTGTCTGATTGACAGCCACTAGAGGAAGTCTTAGTCATGCAATGTAAACCATTGCAGTTTTTGAGAAACTGCACTGCAATAATTACATTGTGGGACTAAGGTGGACAGGGACACTGCACACAGACCACTTTAATGAGATGAAGTGGTCTGGGTGACTATAGTGTCCCTTTAAGGCAAGTAACTCTTCTTTTAAAAATGCTCTTTGAGTGTTTTTGTGGTGGCTGATAGAATAATGTTCTAGTGCAATATTCTATCTTAAATAATAAAGGATTGAAGAAACCATTTAAAGGGAAACTGTAGTGCCAGGAAAACAAAGTTGTTTTGCTGGCACTATAATTCCCTATAGTGCACACCTCCATTGCGGTCCCTCCCTCCTTGTGGTGCAGAAGGGGTTAAATCCCCCCTCCCCCCCACTTCTGCAACTTACTTGATTCCGGCGCCAATGTCCATATGAGCTAGTTGAGGCTCTGCCTCCGATTCTCCCCTGCTGGCTGACCTGAAGCACACTTTTGGTGATGGCCGCACTCGCATTAATATTTCCCCCACAGGAAAGCACTGTATAATGCTTTCCTATGAGGTTTTGGGTGACGCTGGATGTCCTCGTGCGTAGCGTGAGGATGTCCAGCGTCAGTTAGGCAACCAAAAGTCCCTCTAGTGGCTGTCTGGTAGAGGTGGCGTTAACCAAATATAGTAATTATTGCAGTTTCTCAATAACTGCAATAATTACCATTGCAGGGTTAAGGGTCCTGGGACACTGCACCTAGACTGCTTCAATGAGCTGAAGTGGTGTGGGTGCCTATAATGTACCTTTAAGCCCTCTTGTTAAATTGTAACCATGGGATTATAGTACACTGTCAATCTCTGTGTATACTGTACCCTAAGACAGGGGTTAATGGGAGCCATGTGTACTCTGTACCCTGAGACAGGGGTTAATGGGAACCGTGTGTATACTGTACCCTGAGACAGGGGTTAATGGGAGCCCTGTGTATACTGTACCCTGAGACAGGGGTTAATGGGAGCCGTGTGTATACTGTACCCTGAGACAGGGGTTAATGGGAGCCGTGTGTATACTGTATCCTGAGACAGGGGTTAATGGGAGCCATGTGTATACTGTACCCTGAGACAGGGATTAATGGGAGCCATGTGTATACTGTACCCTGAGACAGGGGTTAATGGGAGCCCTGTGTATACTGTACCCTGAGACAGGGGTTAATGGGAGCCCTGTGTATACTGTACCCTGAGACAGGGGTTAAGGGGAGCCGTGTGTATACTGTACCCTGAGACAGGGGTTAAGGGGAGCCGTGTGTATACTGTACCCTGAGACAGGGGTTAATGGGAGCCGTGTGTATACTGTACCCTGAGACAGGGGTTAATGGGAGCCGTGTGTATACTGTACCCTGAGACAGGGGTTAATGGGAGCCGTGTGTATACTGTACCCTGAGACAGGGGTTAATGGGAGCCGTGTGTATACTGTACCCTGAGACAGGGGTTAATGGGAGCCGTGTGTATACTGTACCCTGAGACAGGGGTTAATGGGAGCCGTGTGTATACTGTACCCTGAGACAGGGGTTAATGGGAGCCGTGTGTATACTGTACCCTGAGACAGGGGTTAATGGGAGCCGTGTGTATACTGTACCCTGAGACAGGGGTTAATGGGAGCCGTGTGTATACTGTACCCTGAGACAGGGGTTAATGGGAGCCGTGTGTATACTGTACCCTGAGACAGGGGTTAATGGGAGCCGTGTGTATACTGTACCCTGAGACAGGGGTTAATGGGAGCCGTGTGTATACTGTACCCTGAGACAGGGGTTAATGGGAGCCGTGTGTATACTGTACCCTGAGACAGGGGTTAATGGGAGCCGTGTGTATACTGTACCCTGAGACAGGGGTTAATGGGAGCCGTGTGTATACTGTACCCTGAGACAGGGGTTAATGGGAGCCGTGTGTATACTGTACCCCGAGACAGGGGTTAATGGGAGCCCTGTGTATACTGTACCCCGAGACAGGGGTTAATGGGAGCCATGGGTATACTGTACCCTGAGATAGGGGTTAATGGGAGCCCTGTGTATACTGTACCCTGAGACAGGGGTTAATGGGAGCCGTGTGTATACTGTACCCTGAGACAGGGGTTAATGGGAGCCATGGGTATACTGTACCCTGAGATAGGGGTTAATGGGAGCCATGGGTATACTGTACCCCGAGACAGGGGGTTAATGGGAGCCATGTGTATACTGTACCCCGAGACAGGGGGTTAATGGGAGCCATGTGTATACTGTACCCTGAGACAGGGGGTTAATGGGAGCCATGTGTATACTGTACCCTGAGACAGGGGGTTAATGGGAGCCATGTGTATACTGTACCCTGAGATTGGGGTTAATGGGAGCCATGTGTATACTGTACCCTGAGACAGGGGTTAATGAGAGCCCTGTATATACTGTACCCTGAGACAGGGGTTAATGGGTGCCCTGTCAGGCGGTTATGGTTTATCATGAAGCCCAGCTCACCTGCCTTCCTGCACCTCAGTATAGAGCGCACCTCCTGTGCTGTCCGCCTGTGGGTCAGCTTCTCATCCAGGGCTGGGTGTCTGTATGTCTTAGGGAACCTCTCCTTAACCACGGCCGCCCTGCCCAGAAACTGCCCCCTGTACACCCGAGCCTCTGCCCCCTGCTTCACCACTGCCAGGCTGTCCAGGTAACCGCGAGTCCGCCCCCGGCTGCTGCTCTCCACACTCTCCCCCATGGCAAAGCCTGACATGAGCTCTAAGCTAACAGCGCACACACGCTATCCTTACATTGCCGTACGTCACACAGACAGCGCAGCGCCTGTCAGGAATAACCCTGGTGATGAAAGCACGTGAAACTTTGGTGTAGCACTCAAAGCGCTCCGGGTGGAAAACGCGTATAGACGTAGGAAGGTTCCGTGAAGGTGGGGAAATTGGAGTCTCTCCAATAGTTAAATATTATAAAAAATGTCACAATTCGTTTTTGGTTCTAACAAAGTTTTTTTTTTTCCCTTCATTTTATTTATTTATTTTAGAAATATAACTAACAAGAGTTATAGACAAGTAAAGCTATTAAAAAAAAAAACAGGTAACAGTTTAATGACCCTGAGATAGTGAGGAATCTTACTTGGAGTAACTACTCACATTAGAAAGAGAAATTAAATATAAATGAATTAGAAGAGGTTGATTAATCTGTAATATAATGATCTAAAAGCCATCGTCCTTTTTATTATTAATAAAACAAAATATCTAGTATAAATTTGTAATGACATCCTAGAAAATGTATACATAAAAATAGACATCAAAACAACGTTATCATAATGAAGTAGTTTTTTTGTTTTTTAGATCCAGTCCATGCAGTCTGACTTCTCAATTCTCTGTCATATAGGAGTTAAATCCATTTTGTTTATTTTTATGCAGCTCTAGCCACACCCCCGACAGCTAGCATGGAATAAAATGGTTTAATTTTCAATCAGATGTTAACTTGCTTTAGGCGTTTTTATCTCTTGCTCTGTAAATTTAACTTTATTCACACAGGAGGCTCCTGCAGGGTCTAGAAGGCTATCAAATGTATTTGTCTATGCAGCTTTAGCCACACCACTCTGCATGTGACCTACACAGTCTCCTTACACAATTTATGTGATGTTTAAACTTCCTTCATTGCAAATTCCATTTAATTTTCTAATTTATCTCTTGCTCTGCTAATAGCCTGCATGAGATTTGATTAAAGTTCAATTAACAGAGCAGGAGCTATACACTTCTTAAGTAAACGCACTGTGCTCTCACATCTAATAAATAATGAAACCATTTTATTTTCATGCAGACTGTGTGAGTCACAGTCAGGAGAGGTGTGGCTAGGGGTAAATAAACAAAAACAAACGTGATCTAACTCCTAAATGGCAGAGAATTGAGCAGTGAGACTGCAGGAGCATGATTTATACAAACTGCTTCATTAACTTATCTGTGATGTCCTCAAGGCATTTCTACATAAAATGGGCTTTAAAGCTTGTCAAGCTTGTAGGATATATGGGCCTCCCCTCTGTCTTCTAGGGCCATTTTTAATGACTCCAGACTTTCAAATGAGATGTTTGCAGCGCTGGAAATCAGCACGGCCAGTGTCTCTTTAAATAAGCATTTAAATACCTACTTAGTGATTGCTGTGTGAGCTGTCGGTCAGCACTGCACAGAGCACTTTAACTCCATTCAGCGATGGTGTTTTTGGGGTGCAGGTAGCTCTGTGGAGACCCTCCAGGGTCTGAATAGTCTCCCAGACTCTACCCAACTGATTGGGACCCATGCTGAGCTTAGTCATGTTCCCAGCAACGATCTCTTTATATTAAACTGAGAACCAGGCTAATTCAGTTACACTAAGTGTAATTCTGAAAACGGCCAGTAGATGGTGGTTAAGCTGTAGTTGTTCTGGTGACTACAGTGTCCCTTTAAAAAGGTGAAAAAGGGTTTTTAGGTACTTTTTTTGCTGAGACTCACTCAGCAGCTGCCCACGCCTTCACCCTCAAACTCTTCTGTCAGGCATTGCATCCATACCAAATAAATGTACAATTCTAGCCAGAACACAGCAGAAAAGAAGTTAAAAAATATTGTTTATTATTATTATTATTTTTCTCATTAATCATCAATCTTGTTGACTGTTGTCCGGTTAGATGCTACTCATAGATAAGGATTGAGGAGAAGGATTATTCACTAAAGTTTGGGTTTATAGGAATTTCAAGTAACTTTTAGGACAAAATAACAGAATCTAAAATATCCTCAGCTATGTGATCAGTCCAATTTTGCCTTTAAGGGGCTCTCCAGTGCCAGGAGAACAAATCCGTTTTCCTGCCACTGCAGGACCCTGCAGTGCCCTCCTCCCTCCTGCCCCCCATCCCATGTTGCTGGGTCAGGCTCCGCACACGCTCCTCCCCCGCCAACAGCCGGTAGGGTAGACCTAATGCGCATGTGCGGCAGTGGCCCACGCGCATTAGACCTCCTCATAGGAAAGCATTCACTTTTCATGTTCTAAGAACACGGAAGTCCCTCTAGTGGCGGTCTGATAGACAGCCACTAGAGGAGGACTTAATCCTGCAAGGTAATTATTGCAGTCTAAGGGTGATGGGAGTTGGCAACCAGACCACTCCAATGGGCAGAAGTGGTCTGGGTGCCTGGAGTGTCCATTTAAGATTTGAAATTCACTTTAAATTCTCGAAAAAATGCACACTTTCGGGAATAATAGTGTCAATCTCTATTTCAATAGAATATAAATATAAAAATGTTAACTTAAAATTTAAATTTGTTAAAAAAAAATGAGCAACATGATCTATAGGTTGATAATACCACTTTAAATATAATCCTATTTTGATTTCTCACACTTCCCGCAATATTTTTATAAAAAGCATTAATTGCATTTTTATAGCAAAGTTAATTAAAATTACATTAATTACATTGATTAAAAGTAATCAAAATTACATTCTGTTCTTCAGAAAGGCTACAAAATCTTTTAAACTCCATTCTGTCACCATTGATTCTCCCCCAGACAGAGGATTTAGCTCCTATAGCAACCAGTTATGTATCATTTGTACGTTTCTATTCGACATCTGTTACACAGAGCCGTTAATCATGAGCACCACTCAATCACTAATTAAAAAGGGAGTTCAAAATGATCACCTAGTCTTTTAAGTCTTTACTAATTAACATAATAGACAAGGTTACCATAGACGCAACGCCCTTGAAAGCCTCTCTAATAATCCTTTTAGATCTTACCGATCTAACATTGCTATCAGTTATGCTTTTTAGAGGATGCGAGAGTGTAGTTTTGCTCAAGACTTCTCCGTTTCCTGAAGGTCAGTTCTGTACATCGCTCTGTTTGTGTGCTTATCTTTGTAGTTGGTTCTTGGGTCTTTTCTCCAAAAGTAGACTTTTAATCTTCCTATGTAGGATTTGTTAAACAAGTGTCGTAACGGCAATTTACCTCGAGGCTCTACAAATTGATCTAACGTGTGCTAAATTTATTGTAACGGTCAATATTGTATGTGTATGTTTACCAATATCCTGATATATAAATTTTGAAGGTCATATGTTCAAGAACCTCTTTGAATTCTCGGAAGGTTATACGTTGAATGGTACGAACTTGTGCAATGATTGTTGATGTAATGAAGAAAGCCTAAAATGGATCCACTGAAAATATATTTTTATTTTGTTTAGAAAAGGAATTGCATAAAAACTCTGCTTTTAGTTGGGTTAACTAAAATGGTGACTCCCTTGTAACTGCTTTATCATACAATTTAGAGCAAATAAAATCATGGCATAACAATATTTGTGAAAGGGACACTATAGTCACCAAAGCCACTGCAGCTTACTATAGTGATTCTGATGTCTATAGCATGTCCCCGCAGGGTTTTTAGAGAAAAGTGTGTTTACATTGGTGCCTAGTAACACCTCTAGTGGCAGTCACTCAGACTGCCATTAGAGGTGCTTCCTAGTCCAGTGCTGCACAGTGTGAAGCACTAGCGTTCAGCGTCTCCCCGCTCTGCATGGAGGCGGTGAACGTTCCCCATAGAGATACATTTCTACGAGGAGATGCTGATTGGTGCACACAGCATTTTGCTGCATGATAAAGCTTCGGATAATCAAAATTGATGATTTCAGTCACAGAGGCAAAGCCAGGCATGGCCAGCCGCAGCATGACCGGCGTGGGATAAAATGTGAGTAATTACATGTTTGTATTACTGACCTTTATAGTCTTTCTTTAATTATTGTACATGGAATAATGGCTTCAAAGACTGATATCGATGCATGGAACTTATTTGCTAAACAGGGAGTTAAAACAAACTGCAAACTTTTTGCAAAAAAAAAAAAAAAAGCTGATTTTCTAAAAAAGATTTTCATCTCTGGTCTAATCATCGAAATTTTATCCTGAACTTTACTTTGTTTCTCATTTCACTAAAATGTGTTGTTTATTGAATAAACCCTAAAGTTATTCAAATCATGATGTCAGAAAATGTGGTGATTTATGTTCAATTCAATGAGAAAATGTTACATGCTACCAAAATACTTCTATAAATGTATTATCATCATAGCACTCAAGCTAAGGTGCCCAAAGCAATCTTATATTGACTATATTGACAGGGTCATTGCTAAAGTGAGAATTCAAAGTGAACTTCTAATTATGGCTGTGAATACAGTTGTCAGATCCACCATATAACAAATACATATGGATCGCTGAGGAGCACATGAAAAGTGCTGCCCTGCACTATACAGAACTTGGAGGGGTCCAAGGGGCATTATTCAACTGGAAAGGGTGCATGCATGCCAGGCTGCCTCCCGATGAAGCATGCCAGCCCACTGAGGGCAGGACATGCAGGGATCACTGTCTAATGATGCACTTGAGCTACAAAAGTGGGACACCAGCGAACAAAGTCTGCCTGAAAATCAGGACTGTCCCACCAAAATCAGGATGTTTGGGAGGTAAATCAACAGGGTTTTTCACTAAAGTGAGTAAATTGCTAGGAATTCAAAGTGAATTTAAAATATGATATTCAGAAGGAAATCCTACACCTGCAGCATATACATACACTTCAATGAAGAACGCTTTACGAAGAAACTATGTAAATTTCAAATCTAAGGCCAAAGTAGTCTATCTGAAAGTATTGCTGGTTTTTCCAGTTTGTCTAGTTTGGTCTTAAATTTCAAATTCACTTTGAATTCTTACTTTCTTCAATGTGTGGTGTCACATTCACATAGTTCTAGTGAGTGTGAATGGTATACAATTGCCGACGTGTTTACAGAAATACTACAGCGTTGGATATACAAAACTAAGGATTTAACCTAGATACAAAGTAGAATTAAAAAAAAAAAAAAAAGTTTTTAAGAAGTGTCAGCAGATAGAGTCCCTTTAAATGAACGGAAACATATAAAACACAGACAGATACCTGCAAAAATGAGCGAGGAAAAAGTTTAAAAAAAAAATATTTTTATAAATGTTATTTTAAACTGAATATCATTACATTGTCTCAGTTTAACTGCAGTCTTTTTGCTAAACATTATCAACAACTGTGTCAAGTGCGAGGGTTACCGGGTTTAGACAGTTCTGATTTACAATGCAGCCTCTAAGGTAGGGCTAGATCCTCTTAACTCTTTTCTTCCTAAAGGGATTCTCAGAGGTCTGATTCTAATTTAAAGGAACACTATAGTGCCAGCAATTAAAACCTGTATTTCGGGCACGATTATGAAGGTTTAGATATCCGGCGCCTTTAGATCGCTTTGAAAATGTGATTTTACTCACCCTTTTTTCCCATGACGCGCAGGTCTCACCGCAGCTGTCCCCGCCTCCGTGGCTGAGATCTTGGTGATCGCAGCCAATCCAATGCTGTTGCCATAGGAAAGCATTAGGAAACTATTACGCATGCGCAGGAAAACACAGCGCTGGCCTAGGGGATGAATTGAATCAATGCATCTCTAGGGGGAACATTCAACAAACTCCTGCACGTTGTGCAGCACTGACCCAGGAAGCATCTCTCATGGCCGTCTGAGTGACTGCATCTCGAAAAGGTTGTTACTCTGAAAAGGCAGCATTTACTTTGAAAAAGCTGCAGGGATCTCTATAGACACATTAAGCTCTAGTTGTTCTGGTGACTATAGTGTCCGTTTAAAAGAGGATCAGACACATTCAGTAAAGTGCCATGCTGGAATTAATTAAATACAAACATTATTTCTTAAATATTACTACTTTTTTAATATAAAAACAAAATAAATGCTTTATTACGTGTTTAGTAAAGATAACAACAGACAGGAGGTGATCAGTACTAATGACTATATATATACATACGATACAGATGATATTCTTAGTATATGAATCTATAAATACAAAGCAATAAACAAATTATGGTGCAGTACAGGAGATGTTTGTGAAGGGAGTTCAAATGGGCAAAAGTGCGCATTCACACGTTTTAGAGCTGTCTCAGCTCTATTATGAAAGCCTGGATGGGATAATCCCCGTCTATCGATATAAATGGAGGGTCTTTGGAGCTTGTTTTCAGGATGGAGCAGGTATATGTGAAAAAAGCTAAATAGGAAATCCAATGGTATAGTATATACAAACAATGGGTATTGATGGAGGAAATTTTCCTACTTACGTCACCCAGAGCAATGTCCTGCTCTGGTTTGAAGAACTCGAGGTGGAAGGATTTAATTTTATCCACAGTTTATTTGGTTTTTACTTATATAGGTGTTGTTTGCAGCTTTTTTTTTATAAACCTAATATTTTATTCATCATCACCTGTGGAGTACATCCTTCATACAGCCCTCATCATCCTTCCGGTTCCAGCCTATATCCCTAGGTGGAGATTGTTCCACCTCAAGTTCTTCAAACCAGAGCAGGACATTGCTCTGTGTGACGTAAGTAGGATATTTTCCTCCATCAATACCCATTGTTTGTATATACTGTACAATTGGATTTCCTATTTTGCCTTTTTTCGCATATACCTGCTCCAAAGACTTATATCCATAGACGGGGATGATTCCGTCCAGACCTTCATAATAGAGCCAAGACAGCTCTAAAACGTGTGAGTGCGCGCTTTTACCCATTTGTACTCCCTTCACAAACATCTCCTGTACTGCACCATAATTTGTTTATTGCTTTGTATTTATAGATTCATATACTAAGAACCTTATCTGTATCGTATATATAATCTTAAGCGCTGATCACCTCCTGTCTGTTATCTTTACCCATTTTTGGTGATTTGCTGCTCATTATCGATATCGAGCGCTTATACTTACCAGTTTTTCCATTACCTGTTAGTATTTATAGGGTTAAATCTATGTTATAATGTTATAGACTTTTTTTTTTTTTTCGTCCGTGTTATGGGATCCTGCCTAGAAAGACTCGCAAACATTGGATAAAAGGAAGAGAAGGGATTTTTTTTTTTTTTTCCTGCCACGTCTTTCCAACTTCCTGAAAACACAAACCCTCCCACCAAAAAGTCAGCCTGATATAGATCCTAGTTCTAATTCGGATAGCTGTCCAGGACACCAAATTCCAAAGGCTGACGGAATGTGGGCTACATGCAGTGTGTCTCCTGTAAGTACAAACTCCACAACATTCTAACCTCGTGTTTATATAGAGGATTAAATAACTCATTTCTTACAGCTGATGTATGTGCTCATTGCAATGAAAAGGTCGATTTTTCTATTTAGGAAACTTTTCTCTTATTTTGTACTTAGTAGTCTAACTACTTACAAACAAAAGAAGAGTTGCAGAAATGTTTGTTTATTATTGGACTAACAGAATTTTGGAATGACAAACAAAGGGAGAGGGAGCTGCTCCGTTATCGGGTCTAAATCATTTATAAACAAAATGAAGCCTGTAATTCACACCCGGACTGCGATACAAGGGTTAACTTTACAACAGGCAAGATAAAACAAGGCAGAGCCATACAAGCAAAACAAGATATACATTTAACATTCTGCAGCGGGGTTTCTTAATCAATATATATATATATATTTTTTTTTTTTTCGTGGACCCAAATTATGTACATAGCATTATCTCAATGACCTCTTCTCGAATGTTAAAATTAACTCCGTGTCCTGCAATACAACTTACATATTCAATATATCGCACCGAGGTTCTGCAAACCTCGCGTTGGACTCTGCTTGTGGCACAGGGGTCTACGTTGCCCTGGGAACGGCAATACTACTGCAGTATGCCACTTTATTTTGGGTGGTTGCCTTTGGCCAGATGAATGCGTTGTGCTGTTCCAAGCATTGCGGCCAGCTGATATTGAATGAGGACCCATATTTAGTCCTGACCCAGGTGTTAAGAACTATTGTTCTAGAGAGGACTGTAAAATATTCTGATTAAAGAGTGAGAAAAAAGTTAGTGAAAATTGAAAAATACAACACATAAGCATGTGTACACATACTTTGCATGTAGATCTCTACCTGTACTTACACTTGTGTATATACACTCGTACATTGTATACAGTTGGCTTGATGTAAGTTTTTAATAACAATGCATTATATTCCTGACCAAATTATGTTTAATATTTATATTTTCATGTGCTTTAATCACTGGAGCTTTGAAAAGATCCTCCCTATAAAATAGTAATTATTTTATTACACCGTTCTAATGCGTAGATTTAAAGTAAGCGCTGTTTTTGAAAATGGGCTATGTGTACCTTTAAACATTGTAAATACATGTAGGCGGTGCAGTAAAAAGCTATAGAAATTACTTTCCTGTAAACGTTTCCTTGTGATCTTTAAACCTCACCTTGATATTAAGTGATTTGAGAATCTTGGTGAGGCAATTAAAGTAATTTAAGTATTGCAGAGAATCTAGTCTCCTTGAAAATTAAAGGGCCATTATGAGCTTAGGGCAGTATATATTTTAACTATTTATAAAACTGATTGTGAATACAAACCCGTGTTATCCAGTGTTGCAGCTTCTTTCAAAATCATTTTCAGTCTTTTTTTTTTTTTAAATGCAACTACGACTTTTCAAGCCGCAAGAATTTACTGCATTCCCGTCTAGCTTTCGAAGAGTAAATGATGTTTATTAAACCAGGATTTGACAAATTTGTTTGGAATCTTGGAGCCAGCTAAAAAAGTTAGGAGCCAGTCATTTTTCATGAGAAAAATGCAATTCTTAAAGGGACACTATAGTCACCAGAACCACTTCAGCTTGACGTAGTTGTTCAGGTGTCTATAGCCTATCTCTGCAGGCTTTTCAGCAAAACTGGCACGGCGTTGGGGAAAAAAGGTGAGTAAAAACTCCTTCCTCATGTGATTGGAGGGGGCAGGTACTTAAACACACACACACACACACACACACACACACTCACTCTGACAGGCTCACATACACACATGCGTGCGTACACACTCACTGTGACAGGCTCACATACGCACACACACACATTCTGACAGGCTCCATTAGGCAAACGCGCACACACACTGACAGGCTCACGCGCACACACACGGACAGGCTCACAAACACACTAATTTTGACAGGCTTATGCACACATTAACTCACTTTGACAAGCTCACATACACCCCCTCTCCCCCCCCCTCCTCCTCCCCTTGCTCTCTCTCCCCCTCTCTCTCCGAGAGCTGAGTGGGCCTTTCCCTGGGGTCCAGTGGGGCTGCTCTCTTCCTGCGTGCGCGGGAGCAGTAATCTTACTGTAGCTCCTCTCTGTAGTGATGCCGGGGCTGGAGTGACGTCATATTCCAGCTCCCGGCATCATTAAACAGCACGAGGGAGCAGAGAGGAGCTGCAAGAAGAGTACTGCTCACTTGCACACCGGCTGCAATGCGCCCGTGGGCGGCCAGCTGCCTCATGGCGGGCGCCTTCAAAACTCCCTAACTAAAGAGCGGGCAAATCCTAGTCGCCAGGGTGAAGTTTCTAGTCGTCATGGCGACCTGGGATTTGTCGAGCCCTGTAATAAATGATATTGGTTTTTAAGCTCTTTTGCAGTTAATTCCTCAGGACTACATAAAGATTGTAGATTTATGACACAGCCTTTAAGGAGAAGAGAGAAGTGGCCAAGAATATACTTTGGGGACATTTAAGATGGATCAGAGTAGGGATATGGCTATTCCAGTGTGAAGAATTAATACATCTGAGGTCTTTAGCTGGACAAATGTTATCTTAATTTATTTTTATTTTCTATGTATAATTTAAAGGACTCACAGGTCTCCGTCACTCCAACAAATGGCATAGTAAATGACATTTTCGAACATTCAACTCCATAAACTGGACTAGTAGAGTAGCGTGACACATATTCAATATGATACAGTAACTTTGCTCCATGACCGGAGGCCAGATAGTGGGTATAGAATTAACTATCTAGGCTTGCGTTCTGATGACATTTAATTGGTCTACCACCCTTTCAAGTGGAATCACGTGAAATATGGAAGAGCGAGGACAGTACTCAGAATATTAACTTAGACCGGCCTCAAATTCTGGCCTTATTGTGTAGTGGGGTGGTCGGGTTGTTCTGGATTCTAATACATGTGTACTTATGGATACACGGCTTTTGGAATGGCCTCTCACCCAATTCCCCACCCAGTGCGAGGGGTATGGCCATGGTCAGGGTGGTTCAAGCATTCCCTTGCGCTTCATCCCATATTCCTACGACTTGTCTCCCATTGTCCGCCTCTAGATGCATATTGTATAAATGTATTTGTTGCATTAACTCCCTATCTCAAAACTCCTCCCTCCTAATCACTCCTTCAATGGTTTGTATTGCATAAAACTGGTAGTTTTGAAAGAGCGCGCTATGGCGTTATTTGAAATAGTCCTTGGTATGTAGAAAGAAAAGAGTTAGTAAGGAAGCTCCGTGAAAGGATGAAAAGAGCGGATGAAGTGTGCAGGTATTGGGGCACACCCCGCCGGCATCCCCCCATCACTCAGCAAGCACCCCGTCCGTCCTGCTCCGCCATGTACAATATCCACGCCTGCCACCGCTCAATGTGTTTATTGCCGGTGTTCGTGAGTGAGACTTGAATCGATTCAGCTGCCTTGATCTCCTCCACACTTTCCATACGTGGTTTCATCGTGAGAGACGTGGATTGTTTCCAAAGTTCTGGTATTGGGGATTTTGCAGCATTGAGGAGGTGTCTAAGTATCGGTTTCTTATATTTGCCGATTGGGAGGGGTGTAGCATGTAATAGCATGCTGTCAATGTCCAGAAGAAGACCATCCCCTAAGATTTCCTTGATTTTATTTCTGATCTCCTCCTCCGAGAAAGGTCGTATGCAAGTGCATTCACACCATAGGTGTCTCACTGTACCTTCTGCTTCATTGCACATCCAGCACGTCGCCGGTACTGCTGGAAAGAGTCTGTGTAGTAGGGTAGGTGTCCTGTACCAGAAGGAGAGTACTTTGTAATTAACCACTTGCTCTGTCTTCTCCAAATTTTAAAACATATAAAGGAGAGACAAACATAGAACAGATAGTGTAACACTGTTACAAAACTAAAATCATATATAATAAAATGATATACACTAACAAAGGTAGAGCAGAATAAGCCTGCTCTTACTGTAACAGCTCCTTAAAAATTCCCTCTTGAGACAGAGACGGCACGGAACTTATCCACTTTCACGGCTTTTATTTTACAGACCCAAACAGCATCTCCTTCTCCCTCTGTATGCAGCAGGTAAAACAATGTAAAAATGCTGATAACAGGGGCTCTTTTCCCACTGAGCATCCGAAAAAGATTTTTGTTCCTCCCACCTCCGTTTGAACGTCTAGACCTTTAATTTTTAACCAGAAGGACCAAACTTCTGGAATAAAAGGGAATCATGACATGTCACACGTCATGTGTCCTTAAGGGGTTAAGGACACATGGCGGAAATATTCCGTCATGATCCCCTTTGATTCCAGAAGTTGTGTCCTTAAGGGGTTAAGTTTAAGTATCTCCTATGATACCTCAGTGGAATTTTTTTTAAAAATTTCTGGACCTTAAATATCCAGATTTTCAAACTTTTCTAACCTGCTTCTCATGATTATTTGGCTCTTAACATTGAGAGACCTTAACCACCAAAGCACATTTTTTTATTTTTTATTTTATTTATTTTTTTAAATTATTACCTAGCCCTAGAGCTTAGACATGTGTGAATTCTGGCATTCCCTTGCAATAATTGGACAGCTGCTGTTTTCTGGTGTAAAAGTTAACTTTTGGGGCGTGATCTCCAAATTATCCTAAATGTGACTGAGTTGGACATCCTGGAACACTTAAAGCAAACTTTAAATGATTTCAAGCACGTGAGATCTCCAGTCACGGAGAAATGTATGTCATCGCGTTCACGTGAACCAATCTCTCAGCTGGAAAGAAAGTAGTCTGTTTACTAAACTGAGATTTTTCGAGTACAGATGACGGGATTGCAAATTTTAGGACAAGATAGCCAAACTGACCGAGATGTTCCACCTCAACTAATGTTCAGCTTTTATCGGGTTTTAGTAAGTAAACTCCAAATTTCTATTTATTTTTTTATTTATTTTTTTTAATTGTATTTTATGTCATTAGTCATTTTGTGTGTTTTATCACTGTGTGCTATTTGCTCCATTAAAAAAAAACTAAAAACTAAAAAGGCAACAAAAAAACTCCCGACATTGTTATTGATTAGCCCAGTCTAAAACCACAAGCAATAAAAGTTGAATTCTATAGACTATAACTACTGCAGCTCATTGTTTTGAGTCGAGGGTACAATCCCCCTGTTTTCTATCAAACTACTTTGGAGCATTGTTTGACAAAGCTGGCGGCTCTCCCTTGATTTTTGCCATGAACTTTGATACATTTACCACCATGAAAATTAAACAGGTCAAATACCAGTGCAGAAACTTACTGAAGTCTTTCCTAGTTGAATGACTGGTTCTGCAGCTATCAATTAACTTGTTTTCATTTTAAAACAAAGACGGGCAATGCATTCACTGCTGGGATTAATCAGGGCATCTATCGAGGTCATCAAAACTGCTCGGCTGAACTACCTGTAGCAGGTAATATTCTAATAATGAATATGCCCACACCTCTTCCAAGACACACATCATACGCTGCTTATGTATAGAGTTCTGAATAATTTATAATATGTTGTATGTATTTTATTAATCTACCACTAACAAGTGCTCTTTTGTTTGTTTTTTAGGTTGTTTTGGTCAAGGATTGACACAGTAAGTACAATAGTTTTATGGAGTTTATATATTTTTCAGTACATTAACATTAGCTCTCAAGGCAACCAAGGGTCCGGTAGTTGTTCGTTATTGAACAGGATTGGCAGTTGCCTAAATTCTGGTATTTTCATGGGCCTGGTTTGTAAACCACTGCATCCTAGACTGACCTGAGGAGCTTTCACTGTAAGTGGAACGGGAGGGAGAATGAGCTATTTTTCATAATGAGCTGTACATATTGAATACCTGAAATGATTTAAAAACTAGTTTTAATTTCTATGACGCTGTAGAGAGTTGAAATGGTGATTAAGTGGTTGTGTGGAAGAGAGATTTTGAGTCTTGATACGGCAATGGAGGGTTACTGGATCTTTGAATAAGTGAGACAAATGTAATGTACAGAATTAATGGACTGTGCTGGATCAGATTACTATGAGTGGAAAATAGGATAGACAATGAAAGTTATAAACTTCATGGTAAGACTTTTAAAGGCAGTCCATTCATTCATTTACCTTTGACTATAGGGGAATTCAGATAAAAATACAAAATTCCAAATCTTACTTTTTTTCCAAAATATTAGTGAAAAAAATGTAGTCTTTCCGGTAAAGGTGGGGGAGGGGGAATGCTTATTCAGAGTGAAAGTAATTTTTTATTTTTTTATTTTTTTTGTGTGTGTGTGTGTATATTTTTATCATTAAGATTGTATAGTTCATTAGAAAACTGCAACTGCTCCCCACTGGGTGGGCCATATCTTATCCAAACCCAGGGATATATTGATGGCCATCTTTAGAATATCCATCAAAATTTTTTTTTTTTTTTAAAGTGATTGCTTAAAACCAATTAAACTGTTGGTGTTGAACAAAAAAAGTAATATTAACCCTAAAGCTGGACTGTTATACTGAATATATAGAAAAGGAAAATCGTGGTAAATTGGCGCTTATAATGTCGTAGGATAGTGCTCCTTCAGCTTCTGTGCTCTCCCCGAATGGTCATACAGTAACAAATAATGAGCAGGTGTTAGAAATAAAATTCAAACATTTTTATTCCAAAAATCAATAAAAGTTCTTTCATATAAAACACCGCAAGCTGCATACCCTTGTTAAGAAGCTGAAGGATATCTATACATCCTACTTATGTGTATTTACCTGAGCCAGTGTTTCTATACAGGCTCATGAAAATGTGAGTAGGATGCAACTATTTTATTAATATCTTTAGTCACAGTGTGGACACTATACTGGCTATTTTGTTTTATAGAAATTCCCTCTGGACAAAGTCCATTTTAAGTGTATGTATAAAATGTAACTACTGCACTTTTGAGGACACTCTGCACATTGTTGTTACTATTTCACAGAGCGCTAACCTCCCTTTTTTTTTTTGCCTTGTGTGGACTGTTATACTGTTTTATTAAAGATTTTCAGTGGTTTTGTGTATTCTCACTATATTTTTATTTTTGTGCTTGTGTATATATTTTTTTTCAGGTGACATTTTACAATGAGAGAGCCTCTCCTATGATACTGCTACCTTCTAAACCAAAAGATGGGTATGTGCGGAATTCTGTACCAATTACAATGGACATTTATATTTTGTGTTGGGGAAACCATGGATGTGATATCTTGCAGGAAAAAATATATATCTTAAAGCAGATTTATGCAAATTATTCAATGTGGTGGTTGGAAATCATGATAATATGGGAAACGGGGGACACTCTAGGAACCCAGACCACCTCTGCCCACTGGAGTGGTCTGGGTGTCAACTCCCACTACTCTTAACCCTGCAAGTATAGTTATTGCAGTTTTTTTATAAACTGCAATAATTAACTTGCAGGGTTAACTCCTCCTCTAGTGGCTGTCTACTAGACAGCCACTAGAGGGCACTTCCTGCATCATAGCACAGAAAACCTGTGCTAGAGGGTCGCTGGACGTCCTCACACTGTCGCTCCAGCGTCGCTCAATTCCCCATAGGAAAGCATTTTCAATGCTTTCCTATGGGGAGCTCTAATGCGCATGCGCGGCATTGCCACACATGCTCATTAGGTCTCCCCGGCTGGTGGGCGGGATCAGTCTCGTCTACCGGCTGACGTAATGCAGAGGAGGAGCGGCGGCGGAGGAAGAAGCAGCGACGTGGGACGTGTCGCTTCCTTTGGTAAGTTACTGAAGGGGTTTTCACTTCATTGCTATAGGCTCTGTCTTTTGCACCTGTCAGTCAACATAAAGAGAGGAGGAAGACTGGAACAATGGGGGAGATTTATCAAGGTGTCATGATCTAAAAAGTGTTGCAAATGCCTAAATGTTGGGCAGTCACCATGGGATCAGTAGGACCATTCCATTGGTAAATATGTCACATCTTTGGATCACGATTTTGTTCATGACAATTTTCTAATTCTCCGTCAATGCACTGCGTGCCCTGCCTGTGCCAGGATAGAATTGGATTGTGGTTGCAGTTGCGACATCTATAACATCAACGTAAAAGCAAATGGACCTTCACATTAAAAATGTTTTATAAGTGGCGAGTGATTTTCAGTTTTCTTTTAAATGGTATAATTTCCAGAAAATTGATCGTTCTCCTTTTTTAACCTTGTGTTTGTCTTCTTTCTTATCTGTGAAAGAAGCAGCTGTGTTTTCAGTCACAGTTGACGTTGGATAAACATAGTTTGTGTGTTTTGTCTCTGTATCAATTTGTTGTTGGCAAACAGAGCCTGGGAGCTGAATTGCGATGAGCTGGAATAAAGGAAAGAATGTCCTTATTAAAAGTGACGAATGAAACAACAAGCTGCATTCTGTTGTAACATTCCTTGTTGTTGATAATAGACAATATCTCAAAGTTCCCCCAGTACACCGTATTATACCTTATACCCGAAAAGGAGGTTTAAATTGAAGAAGTCCTGGAACAGGTTTCCAGCTTCATACAGCGGTATTTACTAAAAACTGTATTGTAGCAAATTGAAATCAGATTGGCAAAATATCGTCACATATTGGTTATTTTAGACAATCTGTTGAAATAGTAATTTATGATCCTTCAGTGACCAAAGACCAAAAGCCTGTTCTTATAGCGAGGTTCGGGACAATATGAAGGACAGTTGTTCAGAGTCAGTATCAGTGGAAATTGGAAAGTGTTCTTTGTCTCAATAAAGGGGTCTTGGTGGAGTGGCATTGTAATTCTAAACCTGAAATATCAAACATTGCTGTTTTTTGTGGAAATTGTAACGTTTGCATTAAAGGTTTAAATACGTCTTCCTGACCGCCACTAGAGGCACTTTCTCTGGAACTACAGAGTGAAACGGTCATGTGACCAAATGCAGCTTATAGGAAAGTATTGACTTCAGTGCTTTCTTATACGCAGCATTTGATTGGATGCACACAGCCTTTGCCTCTATGAGTAGCATGGGATTGGACGAATGCCTGGGATTCTCTGCCTCCATGGTGACATTGTAGGAGGCGGAGCGTCTCATACTGGAGAAAAGATACTTTTTATTACACGGGGGGTGGGGGGAATTCAGTGTCACAGGTCTGTATTTCCAACACTTGAATGTATGTCAGAACTTATGTATAGTATAGGGGATTTTCAAAGTTTTATTTAGTGCTGGCTTTTAAGATAAGTGTGTTTTGTGTGAAAATCTTTGATTCATTTATATATATTTTTTAAATCTATTTTAATTGCAGAATTAAACATTGCGTTACTGAAATTGTAAAATCTGGTCTTTGCTCGTAAAATAAAACCCAAAACCCAATCTGACAAATTTTTCTCATTTATTTATTTTATTTTTACTAAACACATATTTTTTTTTTTTTTTCTCCTCCTGTTTTTATTTTGTTTTACAATTGCTTCTTGGTTGTCTTAATTACATTATTTTATCAATTCTATATTGGGGGGATCTGTCTGACAACCCAGTCCGAAATACCAGAGAACTTAATTTGCAAGCCTTATTCTTGACCCTTTAACTTTTCAAAACCCCATGAAACCTGTATATAGGGGGTGCTATTGTACTCATTTGACTTTGCTGAATACAAATATAAGTGTTTTAAATCACTAGAAAACTAACTTTGACCATGGTTTGTGACTTCTAAAGACTGGACATACCCCGTTGCAGTGGCATACACACGAACCATGGGGCCCCGGTGCGAAAATGATATGTTTCACTGAGGGTTAATTCAGCCTCTAGTGGCTTTCTCACTGACAGCCATTAGAGGCGCTTCCACCATTCTCACTGTGAAAATCATAGTGAGAAGATGCTGGACGTCCATAGGAAAGCATTGAGTAATGCTTTACTATGGGCGGTTTGAATGCGCGCATGGCTCTTGCTGCACATGCGCAATCGGAGCTGAGAGGAAGATCGGGGCAGAGGGATCCTTGGTGCCAAGGTTGTCCGGCGCTGGAGAAAGGTAAGTGCTGAAGGGGTTTTACACACACACACACACACACACACACACACACACACACACACACACACACACACACACACACACACACACACACACACACACACACACACACACACACACACACACACACTCACAGATGCATACACACTAGCTAACAGTCACACACATTTACTGACAGACACACTCAGTGACAGACAGACACACTCAGTGACAGACAGACACACACTCCTGACACTCACTAACAGACACACACTCAATAACACACACACAAAAACTGACACTCACTAGCAGAAACACACACTGACACACAAAAACTAACACACACTCGAACACTAACACATATACACCGGTCCTGCAGGCGGCGAGGGAGCACTGATCCTCCTGTTCAGCTCCCACGCGTGCCGCGTACTGATGCCGGAGCCGGAATTACATCATATTCTGGCTTCTGCATCATTGCGGTGCGCGAGGGAGCTGGGCAGAGAGTGCTCAGGGGAGAGTGCTCCCTCGCGCACCCGCCAGCCCGCCCGGTGACACCAGGGCCCGCCCGCCCGGTGACACCCAGGAGAGTACATACCGGGTCGCAGGGCCGCCGGTCCCCCTGGTGGGCCGGGCCCGGACGCAGCTGCGACCCCCTGTGACCGTGGTATGTGCGCCAGTGCCCTGTTGTCTACCTTTGCAAATGGTATGCCATACTGTCTCAAAGGCAACATAGGGCCAGCAAACCAATTTAGCACATTTCAATGTGTAAAAACTAAAATGGGCAAGCTCTTGTAACTTTCCAAAACACCATGTGATCTGTACGTGGGGGACTTTGTTGTACTCGTGGGACATCCAAGCATACAAATGTTTTATTGCAGTAAGAGAAAACCGTATTATGACATTCACAGTAAAAATGCAATGCAGAACGTGGAAAATAAATAATCGATGTGAAATGAAAAGCCTATTTCAACTGAACAAAATGATATATAATAAGTGTGGGTGCCGCGAATATAAAAGAGGTAAATTATGTTTGAACAGATATCTATCTATCTATCTCAAATTTAAGGTTTTGTTTTGCTTTAGAACTTGGACAGTTTTCTCCATCCTTAAAGGACCACTATAGGCACCCAGACCACTTCAGCTCAATGAAGTGGTCTGGGTGCCATGTCCTCTTAGTTTTAACCCTGCAGCTGAAACTGCTATGTTTACACTGAGGGTTAAGCCAGCCTCTAGTGACTGTCTCCCTGACAGCCACTAGAGGCGCTTCCACTATTTACACGGAGTAAATCGCACTTATCTGACGCTGGACATCTTCACGGAGTCCAGCATCAAAAAAGATCCCCATATTAAATCATTGAGTAATGTTTTCCTATGGGCGGGTTTGAATGTGCACTCGCCTCTGGCCGCGCATGCGTATTCGGCACCACTCGGGAGCTGACGTCGATGGAGGAGAAGAGGTCAAAAGTACCGAGGGAGCCTGGCGCTGGATTAGGGTAAGCAAATGGTTAACCATTCATTCGCTGCGGAACGGGCCCTAGTCACCGTTTAGGTGACTAGGGCTCTATAGTGTTAGGAATATATATTTGTATTCCTAACGCTATAGTGTTCCTAACCCCTTAAGGACCAAACTTCTGGAATAAAAGGGAATCATGACATGTCGCACGTCATGTGTCCTTAAGGGGTTAATACTGTTTTGTTTGTTTTTTTTGTTTTGTGTGTGTGTAGTTTATTTTCTATGAAAGCTTGATTCACCATTGTGATATGTTGGTTGACGTCATACAATGTGTAATATATTTCTGTGACAAATAAGAAGTGTGTTATAATCCAGTTATTCCTGTCTTTAAAGAGATGCACGTACATTCATACTTCTATAATATATGATCCTTCTGTTATTTCATTAAGCAGATCCTGTTTGGAAAGCCACACAGAGCATGCTTTTGTTTTCCAGTGTGCACAGTTTGATAGATGCATACCTCCCAAGTATCCCTATTTAGAAGGGACAGTCCCTATATGGTACCCAATCCCTCTGTCCCTATTTTCTACCTTACTCTTTTCTAGGAGCTCCATATTGTTGGTGTGTCTGAGTGTATAACAGAGCTCCACAGCAATAATACTCCCAGTAATGTGTCTGCGTGTATAACAGAGCTCCACATCAATAATACTCCCAGTAACAGAGCTCCACAGCAATAATACTCCCAGTAATGTGTCTTTAAACTACAATAAATGTGTTTAGAAATGAGACATTGTTCTTGTTCTAAATTACGTTCTAGTTGCATAAATTGTTTTTAGTTAGTCACCTAAAATTTCACAGAACAGCCCCGCCCCTGGCCACACACCTAAAATTAAAATGTCCCTCTGTCTGTCTGAAAAGTTGGGAGGTATGTAGCTGATGTGCAGTAAGTGGGGCCGTAATCTCAGTCCTATCCCAGTCTCCTGAGATTAATCCTATTACAACAGCTGCTGCCATTTTAATTTTTGTCCTATCCTGAAAGATTTTATGGGAAAGGATCTGAGGAGACCGAAACTGTGAAATTCTGGCTATCAAACTCCTCTGGGCAAGTATTTTGCTTGGACTTTGCCTTCCCTTTCCCTGGCATGCATTTACGCCCTTCACACCAATTTCCCCGATCCCCACCCAAAAAATGAATGACCCTCGTAAAGATACGAACACTGACACACACAGATACACAGGACACACAATAACACACATGCCGGCACATTATATATATATATATATATATATATACACACACACACACACGCTCACAGATACACCTATAGACACACAGATAGACAGACCGATACAGATTCACCTGCAGATAAACAGTCACAGACACACATGCAGGCACACATATTCACAGATATACACAAACACACATGCCGGCACACAGATTCACAGACACACGTACAAACACATATTAAGACACACCGATACAGATGCACAGACTCACATACAGATATACAAATACAGACACACAGGTATATACATTGTGAGCGTAAAAGTGGAATTGTGATTGATGGAAGATACATCAGGCCTGATTTGTTAAACAGCAACCTGAGAATTTTCAGTTAAATGCCCCAGGGAGAGATGTTAGAGTTTGCAATCTACATTGCTGAGGTTCTGCAAAACATGGTATGGGTCCCTGGGGCGGAGTATTTGGAGAGCAGGGTGGGCCAATGCTCCAACAGCACTAGTTGCTGTGTAACAGACCACAATTTAGATCTGACTTAAGAGTTAACTAATTGGCACTCACCTGTGTTAGCTGAGAGGAAGTGACAGGCTGCCGCTTCCTCCCAGCCCTGACATCAGTAGAGGGGCCCAGTCACACTATTAAAGGGAAACTGCCCTAACTTGGCCCCTGAAGACACATCACCATTATGTGGCCCTAAATGCATGGGCCCCCTCAACCTGCAGGCCCGCTGCCCACAACAATTTCTTTTAGGATCAGTGATCCTAAAATTTAATTATTGCGGGCAGAGGGCAAATAGGGCAGCTGCTTTGGGCCCCTAGGAGTAACTGGGCCTGGGGTAGTTGACCCGTTTGCCCCTCGTTAAAGACGACCCTGAGCAACCCATATGTGTAACTTCTTTAATTCTCAGGCAGCTTCCACTAGTTTAAAAGAACCCTCACCTTAAAAAAAAAAACATTCTGAATAAAAGATGTAGGTCCGTGAAGTATATATTAAGGGAAAATAATGCTTTATCTCAGAGATATTTAGAAGAATTACAGGATTATTCGCTAAAGTGAATTCAAAATAAAAAAAACAAATTACTGGACATTGACTTTGAATTTTCACGTTGGTGAATTACCCTGTTAATATTTATTCTCATGATTTATCACAATATCTCAACTATTTTGACCCATTGCATTTCACCCTCTATTTTTCTGTTATTTGTACTGATGCTAACATTTGGCAGAATAACTAATGGATTCATTTTATTCCAGGTCTTGGTTCTGCCGTCCTTCTTTTAGCAGCTGCCGTGTCCACATTGGGCGGCCTGATATTTGGGTATGAACTTGGGATCATTTCTGGTGCCTTACTACAGCTGAAAAATGAATTTTATCTCACCTGTTTTCAACAAGAGGCACTTGTCAGTGCAGTTTTGGTTGGGGCTCTCCTGTCCTCCTTGATTGGAGGAGTCATTATTGATCAATGTGGAAGAAGGACGTCGATACTTGCCAGCAATCTGGTGGTGTTGGCAGGAAGTCTTGTATTGGTGTTGGCCAACTCGTTTTGCTTTCTAGTGATCGGACGAGTCATCATAGGGGTTGCTATCTCTCTTTCATCAATGGCATGTTGCATTTTTGTCTCTGAAATTGTGCGCCCCCACCAACGTGGAAAGCTTGTGTCTCTTTATGAGACTGGCATTACTGTCGGCATTCTACTGTCCTATGCAATGAACTACTTTTTAGCAAATGTCAAGGAGGGTTGGAGGTACATGTTCGGCTTGGCTATAACCCCAGCTCTTGCCCAGTTTATCAGCATTCTGTTCCTCCCTTCTAAGCCTAAATTAACCACTTGGAACCAAGAAACGGGCAATGGCTTCATTCAAATGAAGGATATCGAGGAAATAGAAGAAGTGAAACCAGTTCAACAGAAAAGAGATTATACTTTTGTTGACCTCTTTTCGTTGAAAGACAATATGAGAACTAGGACATTTGTCGGTTTAGGGCTTGTGATGTTTCAACAGTTGACTGGACAACCGAATGTGCTTTTCTATGCATCGACTATATTCCGCTCTGTGGGTTTCCAGAGCAATTCTTCTGCTGTTTTGGCATCCGTAGGACTTGGACTGGTAAAGGTCCTTTCAACGTTGGTTGCTATGGGTTGTGCTGATAAAGCTGGAAGAAGAATATTACTTATCGCTGGATGTGCAATAATGACTGTCTCCATAACTGGAATTGGACTGCTAAGTTTTAATATTGAACTGGGCACTCACGAGGACTGTAAAGCTCTTATAAAGTCAAATGTTTCCTATGATCTATCCAATTCTTCTGAGTTCGTTGGTGGCATGGCTGAAACCTTTGACTCTGAGTATAGGTCAGCTCAGCGCAATACCTTAGTAGCTAAAACTCAAAGCATTCCATTGGGTCTTGTAAACGACCAGCTGCCCGCAATGTCTACCTCTTCCAAGGTTTGGAGTAACGGTGACTTCTTACAACCAGACAAAGACCACGTGAAGCAAACAACCGCACATTCTGCCAGCACTGAGCTCCTTAACAATTCCCTTGTTTTGAATTGGATTGTCCTGTTGAGTATGATGACTTTTGTGAGCGCTTTCTCTATTAGCTTTGGCCCGAGTAAGTATGAAGTAAATATGTAATTAAGATTTAAGCTGCGTGACTTTGAAGACTGTTTAAAAAGGCAAGAAATGCAAAACGTTAGAACACTGTATTTATTAAATGAGATGTGTAATGTTTCCCATTGGCCAAACCTAATTAACCCCTTAAGGACACATGACGTGTGACATGTCATGATTCCCTTTTATTCCAGAAGTTTGGTCCTTAAGGGGTTAAGTGCTTTTACATTAGCAGCAAGTTTTTTTTTTTTTCTCAGATTTCAGAATTAAAGAGAAACCAGTATGTGAATAAAAAATAAATCCGACTAATTCTAAAATGATTCTTAGAGAAGCTGAAGGCAACTTCAAGCAGAACACTCCGCTGAGCGTTGCTGCAGAGTACTCTCTTCTATAAACTACGCAATGTTACAAAGTGGTTATGGTGTTTAAACTGACCCTTCACATATTTTTGCCTGAACTAACCATTAGTTGAGCAGAAAACAAAAACGCAGAGGTTTCTGTATAACAAAAAAATATATAAAAATAGGAGGAATGTCAGTGAATTGGGAGCTAAAAGATAGGTTTTTATTTTTTTTTTTTTTAAAACGATTCTCTATCTGGCCAATGAAGCGCAGAATAAAGGAAAGAAAGTAGGTGTAGAAAATGGCACAAATTAATAAAAAAAAAAAAAAAAAGAGAGAAAATTTTAAAAAGCAAATATTCTTGCTCGGGGGTCCTCAAATATTTTTTTTTCTCCCTTCCCCTTCTCTTTGTTTCGGAAGCCTAGCCATTCAGGTTCCATTAAAGGTGCATTGTAGCTACTTCCTGTAAACCATATTCTAACACGTTCTTGATGAAAGCTTCTAAATTCTATAACCGTCTTTAAAGCCATTGTGTGTTTTCCTTTACAAAGTGACATGGCTGGTCCTGAGTGAAATATTCCCAGCTGAGATACGAGGAAGAGCTTTTGCGTTCTGCAACAGTTTTAACTGGGCGACAAATCTACTCATCAGTTTGTCATTCCTGGAGGTCATCAGTAAGTAAATGTATCCTTTCTGTGTCATATTCCCAACCCAGTTCGTACCTCCTAAGTGTCCCTATTTAGGAGAGACAGTCCTTATTTTGGGCCCAAATCCCTCTATTCCCCTTTTCTATTCAAATCTCTTTTCTAGGAGCTCCATATTGTTGGTGTGTCTGAGTGTATAACAGAGCTCCACAGTCATAATACTCCCAGTAATGTGTCTGTGTTTAACAGAGCTCCACAGCAATAATTTTCCCAGTAATATATTTTTAAATTAAAATAAATGTGTTTAGAAATCCCATCTCTTTAGGAAAGCTTATGGCCTCCAAGACTAACCCCTACCTCCAATACCCGTCTCTTGCCCTCTCCTAAAGGGCAGCCCACCTTATTTGATTGCACATTCCTGTCCTAATGTGTTTTACACCCCACCTCCTATAGAATGTAAGCTCGATTGAGCAGGGTCCTCTTCAACCTATTGTTCCTGTAAGTTTATTTGTAATTGTCCTATTTATAGTTAAATCCCCTTTCATAATATTGTAAAGTGCTACGGAATCTGTTGGCGCTATATAAATGGCAATAATAATAATAATAATAATAATAATAAATCATTCTATGTAAATAAGATACATTGTTCTTGTTATAAATATTTTATTAGTAAGGCACAAAACATTTCTCTGAACTCCGCCCCTGGCCACACCCCTAAAATAAAAGTGCCCCTCTTTGTCCATTTGAGATGTTGGGAGGTATGAACCAAACTGAAGGAGCTGTGGGTATTAGCCCCCAAATATCGGGTAGGCGCCTTTTATGCACTGATTACCAACATATCTTGTGAGTGTAATTGTATCACAGACCGTACCATACTGGTTTTCTAACTATTCTGCTATGTGACCTGTCTCTCTTTGTTCTATATTACAGCTGTATCCCTTTATAAGCGAAATAGATATACAAATTACACGGGTATCTTACATTTTAAAATATGGTCTAAAATATTGCATTATTATTTTTAAACGTCAATTGTCTTGAAAGAGAGAACCAAAGCGTTATTAGGGATGGGCAAAGAAACCCCCTGATGCAACGAATATAATTTTAAATTTTCTCTGTTTTTATGTTAAATTTTAGAGGCACGCCAATCATATAGGTAAATAAATAGGCATTTCTCTGGTGTGTTTCCTAGGGGATACTAACTAAACCTAGACCATTAGTGTGCCTTGAGGACTGGACGGAAACTATGGATTTAGGACAACCTGAATGTACTTTTATCCAAGAGTGAGCTGAACAGAGTCTCCGTTACTTGTGGTCCCTTTTGAATAATATTTACATTAGAAAGGCTTTTCTTATGGTGACTCTCCACATGATTAACCATTTCTAAACGTTCCTAAAAATATATATATATTTTTTTAGATTCCGTCGGTCTGTCCTGGACATTTCTTGCCTATGGTATGATGGGGGCCGTGGCAATTGTATTTATTTACTTCTTCATTCCTGAAACAAAAGGAAAGTCTCTTGAGGAGATTGACAAAGAGTTCTCCACTAAAAGGTACATAAACATTTAACCGAAAATGCCTTGCAGAGTTTTAATGTACAATTGTGTTTAATATGTTAAAGGGAAGTCAATATTGCCCTGTGCAGTGGGTGTGATTTTTGTCCTAGCAGTGCGAAAATTAACCAGGTTTCGGTTTTGTGCCATCTTTTCAAGGGTTAACGGTCTAATCTTCTAGGTAAGAAAAGAACCGTCCTTGATCATTGTTTATGATTGTGGGTACATAAGTCGGTAAATACATAAACCCCACTGTCTGTTTCAAAAGAAAAAACTGATTAGAGAAGTAGCTTCCCAGGAATTCCATGCAGGGGTTAACAAAGTACAGAATGTGTTTAAATAAGACCAGAGAGACCGGAGACGTCAGCTGTCCTAACGTCCAGGCTTGCGAATCTAGTGTTCTGAGTGCCTGAATTATTTACTGACATTTCACCCTGTTCTCTGGTTTTCTTTAGCTATGATCCGGCTGGCAAACACACAAGTGACAGGCTAGTCATGGTTGCATTAGTCCTAGGGACTGTTGGGGAACAGTCGTTCACTTCTTTCTTTTTCAGTTACAATTATTTAGATAGCACCAACGTATTCCGTAGCACTGTACAATAGATAAACACAACAAACATTTAATGCTAACTAATTCTAATGATTGACAATCTGGGACAGTAGCCGGAGAGGTGGCCATGCACAAACCAGTATTAAAGTCTAAAGTTAACATTGTCTGCTGAAAAACCATATGCCCTCTAGTGGTGGCTTGTGGTATTGCCACAGTTCCACTACTTAAAGTAGTTTTTTTAGTGTCTAATAATGGTCACAATTTTCTGTCTCTCTAGTGACCGTGGGAATATAGGGAAATTCTGTGATATTTAAAACTTGAGATACCTAATCTAGTATAGCTTTTATTTAGCATACAGATTATTATTTTTTCCTCAGAAGCGCTCTTGAAATTCCTGGATTTATGTTTTCTTTTGTATAAGACTTCAAAACACACACACACACACACACACACACACACACACACACACACACACACACACACACACACACACACACACACACACACACACACACACACACCACGTATACACACATTTACTGACAGACGCACACACACTTTAACCACGTATACACACATTTACTGACAGACGCACACACAGTTTAACCACGTATACACACATTTACTGACAGACGCACACACAGTTTAACCACGTATACACACATTTACTGACAGACGCACACACAGTTTAACCACGTATACACACATTTACTGACAGACGCACACACCAAGGCACACATATACTTCGATCGTATGTATCGGATCGCTCGCAATATGTGTCCATTTCTGACAGCGACTCCCTCCCTCTTCCAGTCACGTGTGGTGTTCCCCAAGGTTCCATTCTCGGCCCCTGTAACGGATCACCTGGCACCTCGACTGGGTACCTCCGTTGAAGGATGCTCCTAGCGCTTCCTGAGGACTCCAAGCACTGCGGCAGACACCACAACCACCGAACCGGAGAAGCATACGAATGCTCTCAAGCATATGAATGCTGTAAACGGCTGAACAGGAAAAGCATACAATCAGCTTACACTCCTGGCAATCAGCATACAATCCAATAACGAGAAGACACTTCGTTTTGAGGTCAAGCAGAACTGACTGTACTGGCACATACAGCCTCTTTTATTCACAATCCACAAACATAGTACAGCCCACAGGGTTTTGAAATACAACAAACTACCTCGGAACCGGGGGATCTGGATGAACCACATATCCAAACTTCACCCAGATCCGTTCAGTAGTTTGGAAGATACAGTTTAATGCAGATTCCGCAGAACATTTACAGGCTATATGAAAAATAATTACTGTATAATGTGTCCCCTGTTGTATAGTTTAAAACTACTGCACGATGTCTTTGTGCACCAAATACCGGCGAGATGGCACCATGTAGAAAAGTCCAAACAGTGTCTGTGAGTTAAAATGGCCGCCATCCATTGTTCTCACCATGTGCTTCATCCATTGTTTTCACCATGTGCCTCTGATACATGAAATAGTGGCCACCCAGTAACTCCACAGTATGTCCCCAGATGGTTCTTAAAGGGCCAGCAGCAGCACAACACAAATCCATTATGCCCAAATCATGTCTTTAAAGGGCAATACATCCCAGGGGCCATAGTCACATGGCAGGAGGCTGGCAATCAGTCTTCTCCAATGCCCAGTGGCTAGGTCGGTTTCGCCACAGCCCCCTACTATTTACATTATTTATAAATGATCTGCCTAATGTCTGCAAATCCTCAAATGTACCCAGATGACACAGTAATCTATGCGAGCAATTCCGATCTACCGCAGCTTGAGGCTGTGCTCCAAGACCAGTTTACAGAGGTAGAAAAGTGTATCGCAAAAAACAAACTCTTCCTGAACACTGACAAAACTGTCAGTGATCTTTGGAACAGTACCTAAATTACACAAATTACACAGTTCCCACCTATCCATCAAAACAAATTCAAATGGCACACTGACCGCATTCCACTCTTTCAAATACTTGGGTATGATGTTAGACCCCAATCTATCTTTTGGCCTCCACATAGAAAAGCTTGCATCTAAACTTTATCCAAAACTAGGTGCCCTGTACAGAAACAAATCCTGCCTAAGCCCTACAGTAAAGGAGAAGATTGTACAGCAAATGCTGATGCCAATCATTGATTATGGGGATGTAGTATATGCACCTGCATCGCAATCCCACATGAATAAACTCAACACATTGTATAACTCGTTCTGCTGATTTGTGCTACAATGTAATTACAGGACCCACCATTGTGACATGCTAAAAGAACTAAACTGGCTGTCGCTGGAATCCAGACACACCCTTTATCTTTCCAGCCTTGTGTTTAAGAGCTTTTCTGGGAAACTCCCACCTTACCCGAACAAAATGCTTTCCCCCACTGTTCCCACCTCCTATAACCTCCGATCCAGTACCAACACTTTAGTCTACCTCAATACAAAAAGAAAGCAGCCCGATCCTCCTTCTCCTACAGAGCATCGCAATTGTGGAACGACCTCCCGCACAATTTAAAATCTTCCCTAAGCCTGAAGTCCTTTAAGAGATCCCTCTCTACATACCTCAAAACAGAATGCACGTGTCATGGTTGATTATATATTTCCTGCCTGTTCTATGTTAAATATTGTATTTATTGTGTATTAATATTGGTTTTTGTATTTTATTGCACCCTAATAGTAACAATGCAATGATTTGTGGACCCAGGACATACTTGAAAACGAGAGAAATCTCAATATATCTTTCCTGGTAAAATATTTTATAAATAAATAAATCTACTAACTGACACACACTGATAAACACTCAGTGACAGACATATACACTTGGTGTCAGACACACACATTCACTGGCAGACATACACATTCACTGACAAACACACATACACACTGACAAAAACATACACACTCTCACGAACGGACACACAATTTAACACATTCACAATTTTTTTATATTTTCAATCCATGTTCCAAGTTCAATCCACCCAGCCTCCCTACCTTTGGGAGTGCTGTAATGGATTCTTCCCTGGGGTCCAGCTGGCCAGCTCCTGGGTCCCCCAGGTGAAGAGGCTGACAAGGCATCTGTCAGAGCTTTTGGGGAGCGTCATTTTTTGCCACCCCACCCCCCTGAAAGTGTCGTCCGAGGCAATTGCCTTGTCAGCCTCACACTAAATACAGCACTGCTCACAATACTAGATTATATGTACTTTAGGAGCTTAAATCTGTTCCAAGATAGTTTTAATACTGTCTATTAAAGGGACAATATAGTCACCAAAACAACTACAGATTAATGTAGTTGTTCTGGTGTGTATATTATGTCTCTGCAGGCTTTTTAATGTAAACTCCGCCTTTTCAAATAAAATGCAGTGTTTACATTACTGCCTAGGGATAACTCCAGTGGCCACTCCTCAGATGCCTACTAGAGGTTCTTCAGGGGAGGTGCTAAACTTTCCTACTGCCCTATAAGGAGATGCAGATTTGTAAATCAACCACTTTTCTTTTTCTCTGCTGAATAGGACATTCATAACAAATGAGAATCTCTAAAACGATCTTTGTATCATACATGTAGCAGGAGGTAGGGAGGTTATTTTTATGTGTTTTATAGAAATTTGTACATGACTGATCAGTTTGGAGTGAAGTTATGGTAAACATATCATATCTAGAATACAGCTGCACACTAGCCCGACCAAAGTCAGTTAAGTCAATTACTATTGAATCTTTTGCATTTAATTCTTCGTTCTCCAGTATAGGAGCATTGGCTATTTTATTTTCCTGTATAGGAGAGTATTGGATATTTTGTTATGCAGTATAGAGTAGTGAATAATATTTTCTCCTATATACGAGTATGGGATACTCTATTGTCCTGTATATACAAGAGTATGGGATACTTCGTTTCCCCTCGTACATTAGAGAACAGGAATGTTTGTTCGTTTTTTTTTGTTGTTTTTTTTCTTTTTTTTTTTTTATAAGAACGCGTGTTCTCCTCCTTTTATAGGACCATGTTGTTCCCATTCGGTTAATCCATTTTAAGTAAGAGAGACCCACTAAATGTATAAATATCTGCAACATGTTTGATCTATTCATTATTCCCTCAGGTTAGTCAGTCTAAATCAGAAGTGGGAGAGATTTCCACGGAGGCGGCTGTCTGATCCTGGATATCACATGATGGGAAGGTCAAACTCTTCTATATCCAGCACGTCAAGCACTTCCTAAACCAAATCTTCTGCAACTGGTGGTCCAGGTTCTCCAATGAATATCCTATTCACTGAATTGAAGATTGTCCCGGGAAGCACTTTAGCTGATATCTGTGGAAGACATTTTGCACAACAACCCCAAGACAATGTCGTTCGACAAATTTCACAGAAATCTGCTTTATAAATAAAATATTTTAATCTTTCACATATTTGTGGGGTTTATGCAACTTTTTTGTTGTACAAAGTGGCAGTGGTGTGTTTTTGTGGGGAGGTAGAAGGAAAGGGAATACATTTCTGAATTGGTGGTGTCAACATATAGAATGTATAGTTGCAGGTAGGTGTCACGTTTCAAGTCAACATTCAATGGGTAAGTGCCATCCACCACTTCGGTTACCACATCATCATCAAACACACCTAGCTTGCGACTTACCCCACCCTTCTTCTGCAACTATGCGGTTTAGGTGTGTTTTTCAATGTGAAATTCAATAAGAAGAAAGTTTTTTTTTTTTTTGTGTGTGAGTTTTACATAGTATAATACTGAAACACTTGTTGGTGACATTGAGGCTACTGTATCCAAAGTGGTGGATGGGACTAACTCACTCTATGTTGTGTCTCTCTGGGAAACAAACGAGGTGCACTGTCAAAGGGAAACCGTGCCCACTTTTCATGTGTTGAACTATGCTGGGCTATTTTCCATTCTGATGTGGATCTGGCCAATTTTTGTCTACATGTCAAGTTTCAACGGTGTTGGCATCAACGTGATCATATTTTCTTATGGTTGTCTAGTGGAGAAATGATGAGATCTGTGCCTCAGTTTGTGGAGACCTATTTCACGGACGCTAGTGAGAGTAGTATAACCATTACTGGAGAATGCACAAGAAGGAGCAGAGAAGAGTGAAATTTTCCAATTAAGTTAGACATTTGAGACTGTGCTTCAGAAACCTTCTCTCCCGCACACACTATAACTTCTGGTAGAAGGAAAGTGGTGAAGTGCCTGAAGCTTTTCATGCATTGTACCACCTTTTGTCATAATTCCACCACATTTCTGAAGGCAAAGCCATGGAATCTGTGTATTGCTGTTTCAAGAGGGCCAAAATGGACTGACCTGGTGGATGAAAGGGAGTTTTGATATGCAAATGATATATATACTGCTCAAAAAAAATAAAGGGAACACAAAAATAACACATCCTAGATCTGAATGCATTAAATATTCTTCTGAAATACTTTGTTCTTTACATAGTTGAATGTGCTGACAACAAACTCACACAAAAATTAAAAAATGGAAATCAAATTTTTCAACCCATGGAGGTCTGGATTTGGAGTCACACTCAAAATTAAAGTGGAAAAAACACACTACAGGCTGATTCAACTTTAATGTAATGTCCTCAAAACAAGTCAAAATGAGGGTCAGTAGTGTGTGTGGCCTCCATGTGCATGTATGATCTCCCTACAACGCCTGTGCATGCTCCTGATGAGGTGGCGGATGGTCTCCTGAGGGATCTCCTCCCAGACCTGAACTAAAGCATCTGCCAACTCCTGGACAGTCTGTGGTGCAACGTGACGTTGGTGGATGGAGCGAGACCTGATGTCCCAGATATGCTCAATTGGATTCAGGTCTGGGGAACAGGCGGGCCACTCCATAGCATCAATGCCTTCGTCTTGCAGGAACTGCTGGCACACTCCAGCCACATGTGGTCTAGTATTGTCTTGCATTAGGAGGAACCCAGGGCCAACCGCACCAGCATATGGTCTCACAAGGAGTCTGAGGATCTCATCTCGGTACCTAATGGCAGTCAGGCTACCTCTGGTGAACACATGGAGGGCTGTGCGGCCCCCCAAAGAAATGCCACCCACACCATTACTGACCCACTGCCAAACCAGTCATGCTGCAGGATGTTGCAGGCAGCAGAATGTTCTCCACGGCGTTTCCAGACTCTGTCACGTCTGTCACATGTGCTCAGTGTAAACCTGCTTTCATCTGTGAAGAGCACAGGGCGCCAGTGGCGAATTTGCCAATCTTGGTGTTCTCTGGCAAATGCCAAATGTCCTACACAGTGTTGGGCTGTAAGCACAACCCCCACCTGTGGACGTCGGGCCCTCATACCACCCTCATGGAGTCTGTTTCTGACTGTTTGAGCAGACACATGCACATTTGTGGCCTGCTGGAGGTCATTTTGCAGGGCTCTGGCAGTGCTCCTCCTTGCACAAAGGCGGAGGTAGTGGTCCTGCTGCTGGGTTGCTGCCCTCCTACAAGTCTCCTGATGTACTGGCTTGTCTCCTGGTAGCACCTCCATGCTCTGGACACTACGCTGACAGACACAGAAAACCTTCTTGCCACAGCTTGCATTGATGTGCCATCCTGGATGAGCTGCACTACCTGAGCCACTTGTGTGGGTTGTAGACTCTGTCTCATGCTACCACTAGAGTGAAAGCACTGCCAGCATTCAAAAGTGACCAAAACATCAGCCAGGAAGCATAGGAACTAAGAAGTGGTCTGTGGTCACCACCTGCAGAACCAATGCTTGATTGGGGGTGTCTTGCTAATTGCCTATAATTTCCACCTGTTGTCTATCCCATTTGCACAACAGCATGTGAAATTGATTGTCACTCAGTGTTGCTTCCTAAGTGGACAGTTTGATTTCACAGAAGTGTGATTGACTTGGAGTTACATTGTGTTGTTTAAGTGTTCCCTTTATTTTTTTGAGCAGTGTATATGAGATTTGAGCAAGGGCACACAAGTGTTCTGTGTTTTTGTAAATTCTTTTTTGTCTTCTTATGAGCACCATGACTGCAATAGAAACATACCAATGATGTCGATGTGGTTTGTGACACAACACCATAAAATTATCCACATACACACGAGAAGGGAGAAAATTAGAAAATGCAAAATATATTTTTATATTTACATTCATCATATATGGGAAAAATCTATAATTTTATTTTTAATTGTAATATGGGGTACTAGATACATCACTTGGCTGTAATTTAGGAGCCACAATCCACTTGCCTTGCACCTTTAACTTGACCAAAATTTTATAAAATGAGCACTTCCAAGCGTAAAATAAACAGAATAAATATTTTCCAAAATAATTTACAGTACCTAAAGTTTTTGCCGAAAGTGTAATAAATGCTCTTAATGTCCTACTCTTACTTTATCTTGAAAGGGCACAAGGATATTTTGGGGTCAAATTTAACCCTGGGTACCCACACTCAGGGAATTTTTATATATTATTTCTATGTTTTGCTGGAACCACAGCTGTCCATGCTTTCAGACTCATTTTTGTTGATTGAGCCCCTCCAACCGAAATGTTACACACATGTCTTTTATTGCTCACCTAGATCAGAGGACGGCCATATGGGGGTAATGGAGAAGAATCAAAATGTTCTGCTTGGCGTACTCAGAAATGAAAACCTCTAGGGAACTCTTTGCTCAGCAGGAATCCACAGAGGGATTGCTTTGAACCCTGGGATTCTGTATCCTCCTATATCATTTCAGCAGACCTATAACCCCCTTTCCTTTTATATCCGTCATAAAACCTCAGTATTGTTTAAAAAGCCAGCAGAAGATCCAGAGACACCCAGTGATAGATCTCTTGACACTTGTGCTTTGGAGACATCTTGGGGATCTGCTGTAAATGGATGAGATCTTCTCCTTTGCTGTCACACTCTCGTTGTAGGAGTTTCTTAGAATCCATGTCTATATATTATAATTGTCATTTATATGGTGCCAACATGTTACACAGCTTTTTATAAATGTTATATGGGCATTTAACAATAAATGAGACAAACTATTACAGATGCACACAGGAACAAAAGGTTAACGAGTACTCTGTTGAAACTAGCTAACAATCTACAAGAGGTGGGTGGGTATTAAAAAGAGAAAAGGCAGCGGGTCTGTAAGAACAAAACTATGTGCAGGTGGGAAAATGAGAGAGTGAAGTGGGCTAGGGTGAATTCCAGTAGTCGATGCAGGAAATGACAAACTCCTTGGTAGCATCTTAAGTAAGAAAGAGCCTGATGCGGGCAATGTTTTTAAGGTGGAAAACAGGACAGGATTTGGCAGCAGACTGGGTATGGGGTGTTTATGAAAAAAAAAAAAAAACACTAAGGCTGCAAGTGTGCAAGGATGGGCTGATGGGTGAACCATCTACGTATGGGGAGAATGACAGCAGGGAATGAGTACTATATGGAGGGAAGATCAGAATTTAAATAAACCGATCATAGAATTGTAAAAGTTATGAGTTTCCCAGGGTTCTAAATTAGAACAGCATGCAGCCACCAGAAGCTCTGTAGAACATTCACGGTGATTAACTAAAGTGAGAATTCAAAGGGAATTTCAGTATTAAGACCAGAGTAGCTTAAGTGAATTTTTCAGATTTTTGGCGATTTTAAAATTCACTTCGAATTCTCACGTTCTTGAATACATCAATCTCCTATACGTTTCGGGCAGCTTGACATTTTACACTAACATTTATTCTCTGTATATATATGGAATGCTGTAATTATACACATTATGATAAATCTTAAACATTTGTTTTCCCTTTTCAAAAAACATCTTAATTGAGGGTATAATTTTAGTAAAAAAAACCCAAAAACTAGTTTTTTTCCCCAAAAACCATTTTTATTTATTTTTTATTTTAAATAAAAATACAAACAAACAGGCTTGTGATAGTCAAGTGAACAGTGAAGGCAGCCATTGAAAGACCAATCCTTAAAATAATAACCAAAAAGAATGCATATTAGTACAGTAGAGGGCGCCACAACACCACTGTTAAAGAATTGTTAAAGTTTAACTTGGAGTAAAAATGCACTAAGGTGGGTTTGTCTGGTAAGAAATTAGCATGGAGCTGGATATTCTGGCAGTCCCCAAGACCATTTTAATAAATTTGGAGTGTTTAAGATTGTTGTTGTTGAAAATGTAAAATCTCTGGGACAGCGGCACTGGAAAATGAAAAGGGCATTATTATAAAGGCATAACTAATAAAATATATATTATTATTTATTTTTAGCATGTATAAAGTGCAGTGATTTACAATGTTATAAAGGGGGAAATGTAACAATAAATGAGACAATTACAAAATGTTACAGGAGCAATAAGTTAATAAGGACCCTGCACAAACAAGCTTACAATCTAAAGGAGGTGGGGTATAAAACCCAATAAAAAGGGTATCGAGGGGGATATCAACCAACGACAAGGTAGGAACCCATCAGAACTGGAGGTGAGAGTGGAGCATGGCCCTTTGAGAAAGTGCAAGAGACAGATTTGTAAAATAGAAGTTACTCTGGGAGGTCATAAGCATTTCTGAAGAGATGGGTTTTGAGGGACTTCTTAAATGATTGAAGACTACTAGGGGAGAGTCTGATGGGGAGACAGCCTGTTCCAAAGGAAAGGAGCAGCCCTCGAGAAGCCCTGCAAGTGTGAGTTTACAGTAGGGATGTGAGCAGTGGACATGAGAAGGGCACCAGCAAAGGGGAGAGACTGATAAGAGATGTACCTACGAAGTATTGAAGAAATATAATTGGGCTAGAGTTGTTTAGAGCTTTATAGGTAAGGGTTAGTATTTTAAATTGACTCCTATATGATACAGGAAGTCAATGTAAGGATTGACAGAGGGGCGAGGTGTGAGAGCAATAGCAGGAGAGAATAATCAGCCTGGTGGCAGCATTCCTTGCTATTTGTAGCGGGGCAGTGCAGTTTCTAGTGAGACCAACTGGGAGAGAATTACAGTAATCAATGCGAGAGATTACTAGAGCATAGACAGAACTGGGTTGACTGAGATCATCAACATGGAAGATCTCAGCCAAAGAGATGTAGAGTTAGCAAGTGTGTGGAGGGACACCAAGATAGGAAGCAAGACACTACCATTAGGAATATATGCTAATATCCCTAACTTTGTAGTTGTCCTGTAATGCTGTGCTGAGGCTCAGGTGACCAGAGTTGAGTACATTCCAATATGTTAATTAACCAATTATTTCATTATGAGTGTCCAACTAGAGCACATAAACATCTTCCTCCTTAAATTAGTTTTGCTCTCTGATTGATGTTTCTTATCTCCATCAAGTCTTATTGAATAGGTCTAGCAAGTTAGATGTTTTGCTGAATGTCACCACTAGATGGCGCTCATGGTCTGCCTTGCGAACTGTCACTCATTTCTTCAGACTTGCAAAAAAATGCTCATTAATTGAGTTACAAATATAATTTAGTAATTTAATATAAGTTTGTTACACAGACATTTCATTTAACCACACTACTCTTGATGCTGAAATAATCTGTTTATAATTTGAGCATTCCAGATGATTAAATTAAATGTGGATGATGGAAAGGGCAAACTCTCAAAGACGTGAAAATCAGCATACCATGGGGTGTATTATTTGACAGTAATGTGCATAGCAATGAAGATCGGCTGTACTGAGTAACTGGTGGGAGTCTATCCAGCTACTGTTTATGAAATCAAATAGATTAAAAAAAAAAAAAAACGTGACCACTCCTAGAAAAACAGGGTGTACCATTATGTTTCTGGAATTTTAGAACACAAGACATTTTCACGAAATAAAAACTGGATATCAGTCTCTTTGAGTTACCTATTCTCCACCAAACTAAACAAAGGATTTACATTTTTTTTTTTTACTTAGATCACTTTAAGGCAATTTTGGGTCCTAACCGAAATATTTTATAGTAAGATCTCTCCTCTTTTTAATCCCCCTTTATCACTTCCTC